CTGAGAAGGCTCTGAAAGAGGGACCCCTGCAGGCTCCCAGGCAGCTCGGACACTGGTCAGGAGATTGTCTCTTAAGACCTTGGGCTAGATGGGCTGGGAAGAGATGAGTTCTGGGTAGGTGGTCTCTGGATTTCTCTCAACAGAGCCCCAGACTAGGTCTGACTTGGATCTTAGCAAGGTGCTGAGCTGAAGGACAGTAGCTATGGATGAACTGGGTTCACCTGGAAAGAAGGCTAGAAATGAAAAAGAGACGAAGGGGAGAGAGAAACATGGTGCCAAGACAAAGTTCTCTGATCAAGGCTCTAAGTTTAATATTCAGCTCTTGTGTATATAGGGAAAGCCCCACGGAACCCATCCTTTGTTTCAGCTAGATTATGGGATTATGTCACAAGTCAAGGTCAGCAGGCAGCCTATTCTTCCAAGTTCATGTAGGAATTTACATGTGCAGCCAGGGTGGGTAACTCCACCTAGGTCACTAGGTCTTTCTGGCCTGCTCAAGGCTGGGGAAGGGCACAGCTGAGCAGTCCGGAGCTGGCTGAAGGACAGTGGCTATAGCAAGTTTCTTCTCCCTGCAGTAGGGATGGACACCTTGACAAGTAGAATCTAACATGCTGTTCTTTGTCTCCTAGAGTAGAGTGGGTGGAAGAACCTACCTGAGAAGTCCTGGGGTTTAGGTCCAGGGGCGGCTCCTATACAGAGGCTCCCCTCAGGCATAGTTCTGTATGTATGTAGGTGGTCACAGACCAGAGTCTTCTTTCTCCCAGAGGTCCAGTGAAACACGTGTTTTTGGCTATCATGAACATCTGCTAATTTGTATTCTAGCAGTGCATGGTCATGTTTTGGGGGTAGAGGACACTCTACAGTTCCATAAAGTGTGGTATAGAGAGCATTCCCATTGCCACGGAGCTACCGTGCTGAGACCAGGCTGGCTGAATTACGTTAAAATTAATGTATTTAAAAACAAAGATGTCCAACCTGGAAGGCCTTTCTGGAGGGGTAGGAAAGAAAATATTCATGGTTGAACAGGGAATACCCCAGTGGGATGCCATCACTGCATTTAAATAGCAGTATTCCAGACTTAATGAAACTTCACCCTGTCATACTACCTGCAGCTACCCATCCCATGCTTCTGCAGTCTGTGATGAAGGATAGCATTCACCTTGATCTATCCATGGAGCCTACCAAACTGTGTGAAGCAATGTGAAGCAAAGCAGCAAGAGACTCATATCTTCATGAGTGTGCATTAAGTGTCCTACTTAAGAGATCAAGGTAGGATTCCAAAGTCCCCATAATCTAGGAAGTAGGCAGTAACCCTCTGGGTGACCACATCACAAGAGGACACCAAGGATCTGAAGATTGCTAGTGTGTAGCTTGTGAGCATTGGTAACTCTTAAGGATTACAAAGATCTCCAAAGAGCAGAGGACACATCTACAATGACAAGTATTATAAGGCTTTTCTTGCAGAAACATGAACAGATATTTCAGATTGGACACTGACAGACCAGATAACTTATACCAGCCAAGTCTTGCTTAGTTGAATTAGTGAGTTTATTGAGGTGTGTATAGGAATACCAGCAAGGAGTTACTTACAGGATGATTCAAAGACAACTTCATCACTGAAAAGTCACAGGCATGACTCAAAATACATTCATCCTGGAGCCTTGCACCACTTGCAAGCACCTCTGAAGGTGAGCCTCTTTTCCCCAGCAGTTGCTGCTAACAGAACCTTGGGGTGGGCCTCAGTGGATTCTTTAAGTTTCAGGTGCTTCCTGATCTGGTAAGTTGTCTTACCTCTTGGGCCTGTTTCACTTACTGCACAAGTCTCATGAGCTTTCAGAAAATACCTATTTCCTAGGAAATGAAACACTATTTTCTGAAAGGAGCTTGCTACAGAGAACACTGCTGTAAGAGAAAGTGATAAAGACACAGTTTTTTCTAATTTCCAAATAAGGAGTCTTTAGTGACTATGTACACTACTTCTGAGGAGTCAGAGCTCTTCTATGTGAGGATAACAGGGCTCTTGGGTCCCAAACACAGGCGGTGGTAGTTAGAAATGTACTTTTACTTAAGCCGGGGGTAAATGAGCTTTCTTAGTATTTTGTATAACTTTGCATGCCTTTTTAGTGAAGATCTCCACTCTGAGGATGTGAACACGATCTAAAACAACTCAAGGCCCTGGGATGCTGATCTTTCCCCTCAACAACCCTCTGATACTTGCATCGGTATCCAGCACTGGGGAGCTCCTGTCTTGTTTGTGGGCTGGGCTTAGCTGTAATGATACCTGTGTGAATGAAGCCAGTACAATAAGAAACTCGGTGTATACATGTGTGGAACTATCAAAGAATTAAAAATACAAGTGGACTCAAGGTATCATTCACTAAGTCTGAGAAGGTCAGTGACCACAGGTCAAAGTTCATGGCTTCCTAGAACACAGGAACAGAGAGAGAAACCTTCATGTTCACTTCCCATGTTTACATTTAACCAATTAGGTGTCCTGGGGCTAGATGAGTTGCCCTCTCCAGCCCTACAGAAACTTCTGATCCACACTCAAAAGTGAAACACATGCATTAGTATTTTGCACGATTTCCCCAACAGTAATATGGGGCTAGGAATATGAAACACAGGCACCCTAGACAACTAGAATATAGCAGAAGCTCCAAACCCCACCCAGCAATCACATGCATTAGAATCTGGTGAGCTCCAGCAAGAAGCTTTTATTGTTAATCACACTGACAGGATGGGGTTTTACTGGTTCCTGCAGCAGAATGCAGAGGAGCGTGCATGCTGCACAGGAATATAAGGCCACTGTCCCCATTTCCTAGGCAGAAGGGAAAGAGTACTTTAATTCAAATGTAGAAATACCCACTAACCTCCAGAACATACTAATGAAGTATTCGCCTGTCTTCTGGAAGCCCATGCCCAGGTAGAGAGTCATAGCACTTTGCTGCAAGGTGCTGGTACCAAGGACAACATCACTGTAGCCCTGGTCCCGTGCAAACTGGAGGACAGTTCTGACCAGTGCCTTCGCTATCCCCTGTCCTCGATGCTGTGAGGACACAGACAGGCGAAAGAGCTGCAGCTGCTTCCCCCCTAATGGAGAATCCTTGTCTGGCTGAGCAGCCACCATGCCCACCACCTGCCCCCCAGACTCAGCCACCCAGAAGCAGGCGCCATGAACATTCAGGTAAGACTTGGTAATGTCAACCATGTCTGTCTGCAAACACTTGGCCACATACTGCTTCCAGGGCTGTCCAGCAAGGAGCCGCAGGAGTAGGAGCAGAAAGAAGAAGCACACAACAGCCAGCAGCCAGGAACCAGACACCAGGACCAGGGTAAGGGGCACCCCAAGTAAGAGTAGGAGGGTTCGGGGCAGCATAAGCATGTGGCGAAAGGTGGCGGGGATGTGCTCTTCCATGCCCTTGGTGAACACATCCACGACACTTTCATAGTCGCTGTCCTGGTAGTGTCGGATGTGATAAGGAGCCATGGGAGACTTCTGGGCCTCAAATCTCGGCATCCAGGATAGACAGCTAAAGCTGCCTGCACACCTTCCCTGAACCCTGCAGAAGAGAGAAACCATGTGAGTCTCCTGAACTTCCCTTTCCTAACCTCCCAGGACTCATGTAGGCCCTGTTCAAAGGTGTATTTTTCTGCTGTCACCATAAAGGAAGCAGGACACTAACACTGAAAAGAAGTATTGTGTTAGTAGGACTTGATTACTCCCTGCCTCCTCCCCTTTTAGCCTCTAGCCACTGTGCCGTGTCTCTCTACTCTGAGCAGGTATGTCTTTATCAGTAGATTAGGAAAAAGGACATTTGGTTTTAAAGGTCTGGGCTGTTCCCTCGTTACTCAGTAACAGGCTCTTTGGTCTTTGGCACTGAGATGGCACCTTTGTGCAGGAAGATGTGATGTCTCAAGAACTGTGTTTCCTAGTCACAGTCCTTGCATCACAGAGCTGTTTCCAAGCTCAAGTCCCAGCAAAGCCTCTTTCCCCCGACTAGAAAGACTTGATGTGGGGAAGGCAAAGGGTTAACCCCAAACACTCACCCTTAAATACTGTGTAATACAAGCCCCAACCTTGCCTCTCTTCCTCTTACCTGGTACCACAGAGTCAGAAGTGTCTGAATAGTTCCCACTCCTGAGTAGCATTAAGTAGAAACTGCTGACACCTGCCTTCCCTCTGGGCAGTAGACTTTGGAAGGATATCTTTGGATGGGTCCAGAATAATTGTAAACCAAAGGCCAAGAACTGGACTGTGAAGGTGGCACACATCCATTTTCCTTGTGACCCCATGGACTACACTGGACAAGCACGCTCTGGAATGTTACACTCCACCCTTTTGAAGCCCACCATCTTCTTCCTGTTTCCTTCTTATTTTTCTCCAATTCCCAGCTTGGTTATCTGAATGCACCGGCTAAGACAGTGTTTCTTAACCTGGGGGTCAAATAATCCTTTTACAGGGGCCATCCAAGACCCTCGGACATGTCAGGCATTTACATTATGATTAATAATAGTAGCACAATTACAGTTATGTTTGGGGGTCACATCAGGAGAAACTGTATTAAAGGTTTGAGAACCACTGGGGTTAGGAGGATGCTGGGATTTGGTCACTGGCTGTGTGCTCACACGTCCTGCCTCAGTAAGGGCCTTTATAGCAGGGTTCATCCCTGCCTCAGCTGTAGCTGCCCCTACTAACATGGATCTGTAGTCCACTCTGACACCCCCCCCTCCTTAGCCATAGCATGAAGGACACAACTGTTGTGTCTCATGAGCCCCTTTCCGTCTCAGTAGATCTGCTTTCCAAATAACAGTCCCCAGGCAGGGCAGCTGCTGGAGTTGAGCCATGCGCACATCAAGAAATCTCACACCAGCCGACTTCAGCATCACTTTATCGACATGGCCAAGAGTGGCTTAGCTGGCTCTCTTCTCCACATAAACATCAGAGATTTTATTTAAAGAAAGTATGAGAATATTTTTTGTATGGACAAAATGGGAGTATTTTATTATTATTATTATTATTATTATTTTAAGATAGGGTCTGTCTATAGCTACCTAGCTCAACTGAAACTCACTATAATAGATCAGGGTGGCCTCAAACTCAGATCCACCTGCTTCTGCTTCCCCAGTGCTGCAATTAAATGCACTGCCACCGTGCCCAGTGAAAGGGAGTATTTTAGATCATGAAGGATTTTTGTATGGTAAAATAGGATTTTGCCTTGAACAAAATAACTAGATTTTTTTCCCAAATGAAAGCAAAAAAAAAAAAAAAAAAAATGAGGGTAAACCCAGCAAGCTGAAGTGAGTGGCAAACGGGAGGACACAAAGTCTTTGGGGACAAGCTAGGATGGTATAGACCTGAGCTGTTACACCCACACAACCTAAAAGCCAGCAGTTTAAAACAGCAAGTTCTTGTAGGACTGGAAGATATTAATCTACTCTCAGCATTTGCAAAAATACTTAAAAACAAAATATTTTAATTAATAACTTATGCTTTTTGTTAAGTTTGTCAGAAATTTAACTACTTAGGACACGCAGTCTTAAGCTGATGTTCACTTAATCTAATTTGTTTATAGTAACGTCTTTAAATAACCACTTTTATAAATAACTTTTCCCAGGTAAATTTAATACCCTATGCATCTGTGTGCAGCAATCTATGTTCGAACTTGTTTGTAGTTAAAGACATTTAATTCATACAGAATGATCGACACATGCTCTTTTATGCAGAAGTCATTATGGCCAATATAATTTTTTGATATCTCTACTATTTTTAACCAGCACCATCCAGAATTAAAAGCAAAACCAAATCACAATCAGTACTGTTACTTAAAATCTCAGTCTGTATGCCTTCACCTTGACAAGAGACATACCTTATTGCTGTATATATAATTCACTTATTACATCTGTGCATAATCATTAACACTGTTCCCCATTATGGGTCTAAAGTTTATTTTTAAATAGTGCTGTAGACCTTTTGCCCTACCCAACCAAAGAGCCTAAATTTTGCTTCAAAAACAAAACTAGGCAGATTGCTAAATAATGGGAGAGGCACTTTAATGTAATTCTTCCATGTGGTGACAGAAACTGTTGTTGGATATATACATATATACATATACATATACATATACATATACATATACATATACATACGCCCTTTGTATTCTATAAGCTTCCTAAAACACAGCAGGCTAGGAAGCACTTTGAAAACTGTTTTTCTCCAAATCAGAATTGTTAATGCTACTAACCTTTCCTAGGCATGTGTTCATGAGCTCCTAACTCTCAACTATTCTCTTTAAGCAATGACAATTCAACATTCTCTAATAGTGTACATTCTGAGCAATGCTTCCTAACGATTAAAAGGCATTACATATTGAGATTTAAAAACATAAGTAGTTAGATTTAAAAGCATCTATAGACATTTGCTTAATTTTTAATTTTTATTACTATTTTGTGTGTGTGTGTGTGTGTGTGTGCTTGTGCCACGGCTTTTGAGTGGCGATTAGAAGGCAAGCTTGTGGAGCTGGTTCTCTCCTTCCTCCCTAGGTGGGTTCAGGGGATTTTATTCAGGTCTTAGGCTTGCTGGGCTACCTTGATGGATTATATACTTAAATTTTAACACTAGCTTTCCTTAAATATTTGCTCATTAGTTCTGTTTTGTGTTCTCTTTTAAGAATTATATGGCTATTGCCTGCAGACATTCTGCAGAAATACAGCTTCTAATGGACATTTTCATTAGTGATTTTGGAGATGCTAGGACATCACCAACAGGATAAACAAAATGTAAAAAATAGACAAGGTAGGCTCTAGGGTTTATTGGCATTAATTCCTTGACATCTGTCACTCATTCACACCTTCAACACAGAATCAGATCGGCTGGGACAGATCTCATCCCAGGGATGAGAGCCGAGATCAAATCACCACAGCCAAACAATAGTCTCTTCAGAGAACATTCTTCATAGATGTGGAAAGATGTCAAAATCAGAATCAAGTCACACTGGCACGATGTTGCTTGTCTGCAATTCCAGCACTGTGGAAGCTGAAACAGAAAGGCTGACAACTGCAGGACAGTCTGGCCCTCAGGAGTACGACTGGACTCACTGTGACACACTTTCCAAAAAGAACACTGAGAAGTTAAAGAGAAATTGTTTTTATACATGGTTACCTAACACTGTTTTCTAACTTTGGTTCAGGCTTTTATTGTTAATATTTGTTTCAGAACAAAGCATATTTCAGAAATTCTCACCCCAAGTCATGGCTGTTCCTGTTACATATGGTATGTTCTGAGGTACATCTTTTTGTGCCAGGGAATTCTCTTACAAGTAAGAAGTCATTCTGACAATCAACCAGATGCATGGTGTCAGGATGTCATCTTTCATATGACACAGATCTCAGCATCGCTATTGACAGTGAAGAATGATAGGGGACAGATAGGGGTACTTTCATATTCTGTATTATGAAGACACACTTGTACTCCACACTGAGGAAAGGAAACACAAAAATGGACTTATTGTTAGCTTAGCAGGGCCACCCTCTCATTTGTTTTGAGTTAACCTCCCAGGAGCCTCTGAAGGAGTATAAGGTTGGCATCAGTAGAAATTAATTAGACTGAGTTTCAACATGTCTGGGTCCAAACAGCTGAGGAAACAGCTGAGGAAAGATCGCAGAAAGTAACAAAACAAGAACACACCATTATACTAGAAGTGTAGTCAGACTGACCACCTGACAGAGAGGAGCTCCAGGATTACTGGCTGTCTTTGCCTATGGCCCTATCTCCTCCTTACATAATCTGCTGAGTGAAGATGGTATGAAATACATGTCTTTAGGGTAATTAATCTACTTTCTCAGACTGGTGGCTCTCTCTGGATAAACTGTAATTTTAAGATTCAAGCCCTTTATTCACTGGGTTCTCTGATCCCATCTCATTATCTTGGTGGCCATCCTTCCCCACCAGCAGTAACCTGGTCTTGCACAATTCCCTGAGGCTGATGGCTTTTGAGGACTTGATCCCAGCATCACGTCCTTCTGTCTGCTCAAGAAATTTGCCTCTTTCCTGTCACAGCTGTAGGAGTCCACGTGTCTCAAATCTCCAAGCACAGGAAGAGCTACTTCAAGGTAACCTACCACGCCACATCCCCGTTTCCACTCGAGAGCACATTCGGTAAACTGAGTCTCAAAAGCTCTGATAAACTGTGACTCTCGTCCTGGTGAATACTTTCCTTTTCACAGGAAAAGGGCGTTCAACACAGGCTAAGTAAGAACAGAGCTGACACTCAACACCATACCTCAGCTTCTAGGCCCGACCTGTGGAGTCCTTTCCACCTCCAGGACAAAGTAGAAGTAGTTCTCCTGTGCTCCGCCAGCAGCAGCTAGCAGGAGTAGGAGGCGGCTGAACTTCATATAAACATAGCCTGGAACACGCCCACCGGAAACAGGGTGCCTCAGAGCCTGTCCACCTGATCAAACATTAAGCACTTCCGGAAGTAGAGAGCTTCGTTTCCAAGGGGACGGTCTTCTGAAGCGGACATGAGACTGAGGGTGAGTTCCGTCCTGTAGCTCTTTCCCTGCGGACAGTTTTGTGAGCGAAGTGTACGTGTCTTTGCCAGTGTTTGTCGCGAGCCCTCCCAGGCCGCGAGTGGAGAGCGACATAGTCTCAGGAGCGCGGCTCGGGACGGAAGGCCTCTCGGCTGCGCGCACCGGGGCGCCCCCTGCAGGCGATGCCCGAGACTGAGCAGGAGTAGCCGCGTGCGGACCGCTGAGCCTGGCCCAGCGCTGGGCGAGAGTTGCCCCAACCCCCGGCTTTCCAGGGCCAGCTGCCTCGGCGGGAGGGACCTAGGCAGGAAGCTCCGAGGACAGGGATGCCCTGTCGGAAAGCCTGACCAACCTAAGCTGAGGACAGGCTACGCTATCTGGGCTGGAGAGGAGTCAGTCAGGGTCCAGACTCTACTTCGCAGGATCCTGTGACATAAAGTTAGGGCTTTAACTTCAGCTCTGACTTGCTCCTGAAGAACCCCGTGACCATCGGGATAGGTTAGAATTGCATTACTGGTGACCAGGGCCGGGATGAGGACGCTGTTAGGGTGTTATTGATAAGGGGTGATGGCAGTGCCTGTGACAAGGATGAGCCAGAATAAATGTGGATATAGAGTCAGAACCTGGGCACTGGACGCGAGAAGTCCAGTTACACTACCTCCTGTTGCTAAAACCACAATACCTCGTGTGTGTGTGTGTGTGTGTGTGTGTGTGATATTTTGTTGTGTTTTCCTAGACAGGATTTCTCTGTGTAGCCCTGGCTGTACTGAACTCACTCTGTAGACAAGGCTGGCCTCAAACTCAGAAATCCGCCTGCCTCTGCCTCAAGCCACAGAGCAGGTCAGGAGGCTAGGCAAACTTGCATTCATAACAGACTCGCTCTGGAGATAGAAGCCATTATTTGATAAAAGTATCACTGGATTAACAAATTTTTGAGTTCAAGGCCCTTATTGCCCCGGAGGTAAATTGTTAACTTTATAGTCACATCAATGGATTAATGATTTTTTTTTTTTTTTGAGTACGAAGTCCTAATCACCTTTTTAATTCCCTACTTGGCCTCACCTTTTAATATCTCACTTTGGGAACTAAATCTCAACGTGACTCTTAGAGGTGTCAAAACAGATCAATACAAGTAATGATTCCAAAGTTTCTGGTCTAAGCAACTCTTTCACTAAACCAGAGCAAACTGTACTGAGGTTTTCTAAAAGCCCCTTTCCCTTACTATTAAAAATAAGACCAGAGTTTTGATTTCAAGCACCCACATTGCATTTCACAAAACTCCAGTTCCATGGAATCCAACACCCTCTTCTGGCTGCCACAGGTACCAGGCAAGAGTGTAGTACACAGACATGCAGGCAAACACTCAGATGCTTAACACACACACAGATACACACACACACACACATGGAACATAGTTTTCTTTCCTGATTGTAAATACTTAAATTTTGTATGATATCTGTAGAAGTTCAGAACATCCACAGTAGAATATTTTAAGAGTAAAATAAAAGTCACCTAATGATCTCAGTACTCAAGATTTCTGCATTTTGTTATGTTTTCTATTAATTTCTATGCATGTTTTTACATGACAGGGTGTACTGATCATGCCTACCATATTCTTTATCAGTTAGATGCTAACATGAAAAAGACTGCGTCAGGCAGGACATTATTTATAAAACTTTTCCTGTAACAGAAACCCTCAGACATAATTCTAGAAAATCAGAGGCAACTTTCTGTTATATTTAAGTTTTGTGGGTTTTTAAAATTTTTTAATATTTATTATTTTATGTGTATGGATGTTTTGCTTATATATGTGTGTGTATGCCACTTGTGTGCCTGGACCAATGGAGGCCAGAAGTGGGCATTGGATCCACTGAGGCTGGAGTTACAGATGGTTATGAGCCATCTTGTGAATGCTGAGTCCTGGTCCTCTGCAAGAGCAGCAAATGTTCTTAATGGCTGAGCCAACTCTCTAGTCATGTGGTTTTTTTGTTTTGTTTCCTGTTTTGTTTGTTTCATATAACCCAGGCTAGTCTGGAACTGGAGTTGTGTAGGTGACTTTTATCTCTTTTCCGATGAAAATGTAACTTTATACACATTTAATAGGATAAATGAGAATAGGCATAAACAAAGAAGAAACTCAGAATAAAGAGTCAGTGCCATTTTGCTTGCAGGGAGGAAGGTGTAAGAACCTGAACAAACTTGGGTGTTGAGGGAGACATTCCAGGACTGCCTCCAAAGGGACTGGGGAATCTGAAGCTAGGATTTAGGTGCCAGAGTTAGTCATTGCCACTGAATGTACTGGTGTAATAGAGGCCAAAGTTCTGTTTGGTATAAGAAGTTTTTCATTAAACATGGAACTGTTTTCCAGAAAGTGATAGGGCAACTTTTGAATTGGCTTCAACTATGCAAATACTAGGAAATCTCAAGTACAAATAACCAGCTCTGCTGATTCAGGCAAGCATAACGCAGAACCGATGTTTTAGGGCTTGTTGTTTGGGTTGTAAGCCATCTCTCCAGCCAACATTTTGGGTTTATAAATGGCGTCAGTTATTATATTTTGGGTTTTATTATATATGTTCACTGTAGCTCTTTTGTTTTTGTTTATTTTTGAGACAGGGTCTCACTGTGTAGCTCTGGCTATTCTGAAACTCACTATGTAGATCAGGCTAGCCTCAAAGATCACCTGCTTCTGCCTTCTGAGTGCTGGAATTAAAGGCATGTGACTTTACTACCTGTTTAGGGGAGAACACTGGGGTGTTTTTATTTGTGTCTGTGATAGTCTTATATCAGGAATAGTTTTGACTTCTTTATTTTCTTTATTTGAAAATCAATCATGAGGTAGAATATGTGGTTGGGACCTCAGACCAGCACGTGTGTATGCTCTTTGGTTGGTGGCTCAGCTTATGTTCACCATAGTTAAGACAATAGTTGACACACATTAAATGAAGATAGTTGGATTTTAATGATAATCATGGTAATTCTTGAAATAATGCTTATATAGAATGAACCAGTATTGATTACACACACCAACCAAGAAAAACAACTATCAAATCCAGTCTACCCTAAGTAGGCTATGGTATGTCTTCTATTACATATTTAAAAATGGATGCTAAAATAATACAAAGAGCACTATACTTCACTTGGAGTAAAAATAGCCTGTCAGCCATTCTAATCAGAATCTTACAAAAGTATCAGGTTTCCAGGAGAGACACTATTCTAGAGTAGTCAGTAAATCTTTTGATAGTTTTACATCTGTAAAACCAGGAACAGACTACATCTTGGAATCTGAAGAAGATAGCCAATCACACCATGACAAGATTCCAGCCATAGTGTAAGATGAAAAGGTCTTCCTTCTGCCGTGTTCCCAGGCTCTAGGGGAGCTTCATGTGTACAGAGTTCAGCTGTGTTCACACGTTTGTGCCATCTGAGCCTTAGAAGTAGGTCTTTGTAAAAGCTTTGTAATTTGCACAAAGATAGAAGTGGGTGTGAATGTAATTGTAACCACATTTCTGGGTGTGTCTACAAGTCCTTCAGTCCAGTAACGTCTGTCCATTGAGTTCACAGAAGTTATGTTGAATGAAGAGGGTTGTTTCTGTCAACAGGACTGTTCTTCACTGATCTGGGTGATCATCTAATGTGGGTATTACTGCGTAGTTCACATCTGGTTTTATACAGTGCTCAGGATTTCTTTTTTACACTTTTAAAGATAAAACCAACATGTCCACGACTATCCTTAGACTTAGCAATTATGTTTGAAGGATCTGTCTCAAATAGTCATCTTCTTAATCTTCTCTCTAAAGCCTGTCTTGAGCACCTTGTGCACCTTATCAGAGAGCTCCAGCCTACAGAATTTTCACCATGTATCTGGGTTACTTCTCTTCCAAATCTCACAGCAGCCAATAAAGTGCTAGCCCAGGCTAGCTGAACAGAAAGACCATCATCGTTTGATTTTAGCCTGAGCCCAATTTTCCTGTCTTGATCCTTAGAGAAAATGACTTCAGGAATCTGTCATTTACTTCCTGGTCTATGTATGGGTCCCTACACCATCATCTGATGTGGGTGTTACTGCATAGTTCACATGGAAGATCCTGCTACTAGCTGCGTCTGGGCTAGCACTCCAGGGACCAAGGCTAGGAGTGCACAGATTTCTTTTGTATATAAACTCAGTCTCATGTATTTCGAAGTACTTTGGATATGGTTTAAGGTAAAAATGTCCAGTTTGAATGATGGGAACAGAAGCATCTGTCAGAATTGCAGGGCTGGCAGGGTTGGTGGAGAGGGTATTTGGGCTTGGATTACCTATATTCAAGAGAAGGTTAAAGACAGATTTTGTTTTGTTCTCAGGCATTTTTCAGCCTGTAAAGACCCATGCTCTGAATCTCCTCCAACCCTGAACTTGAGATCATCCTCTTTTGACCTCCGCTGGACTGGGTTCTAGGTGAGCACTATCACACCTGGTCTTATACAGTGCTCAGGATTGAACTGAGGTTTTGTGCATGCTACTTGAGTACTAACTCAGCCCCTCTTTTCACTATTTTTTATGAGCAGCCTTTACATTATTTGAAGATTTTTATTTTCAATTTATGTGTAAATGTGTGCCTACAGATACATGTGCACATGGAAGCTGGAAGGAAGTGTCTGATCCCTGGGAGCTGGAGTTAGAAGTGGTGGTGAGCTTCCTGAAATCAGTGCTAAGAACCAAACTCAGGTCAAGAACAGCAGACTGTTATTACTGCTTTGACAAATCAACGCTGCAACACTGATTTTGTTTTGTTTGGGGGCTGAGACTGTTGTGCTGAAAAGTGAACACGCCCTTGTACATGCTTGAAGAGTGAGTGATCACTAAGCCATTTTCCCCACCAACATGAGAACTTTTTTAAAAAATATTTTTTAAGATTTATTTATTTATTTTATTTATATGTGTACACTGTAGCTGTCTTTAGACACACCAGAAGAGGGCATCAGATCCCATTATAGATGGTTGTGAGCCACCATGTGGTTGCTGGGAATTGAATTCAGGACCTCTGGAAGAGCAGTCAGTGCTCTTACTGCTGAGCCATTTCTCCATTTGCCACATGACAACTTTTTTAAAAAGTTTTTTAATTTATTCTTCTTTCATATTCTGACTGAAGCTTCCACTCCTTCCAGCCTTCCCCCACCCCCACTTCCCCCTAGATCCATTTCCTCTCATCTCCCCGTAGAAAAGAGCAGGCTTCCCAGGGACATCACCTCAACATGACACAACAAGATACAATAATACTAGGCAGAAACTCTCACATTGAGGCTGGGCAAGGCAACTAGCAGGGCCCAGTAATAGGAAAAGGGTCCCAAGAAGAGTCAGACACACCCACTCCCACTGAACATGACAGCTTTTAGCCCTATTTAGTCACATCAAACCTTGCCATTGGTTGGATAGGTTGTTCTCAACCTTTCAAAAAAGACATCTTGTTTTATCATCATCAAACTTCCAATTAGTTCCTCAAGAAAGAAAACTAGAAATGGACCCGACAGATATGAAGGATGAACAGAGCCTAGCACATTGGCCAAACCAAAGACTCAGTAGACGTTGGTGCTGGCGACATTGCTCAGCAGGAGAGTGTGCTCAGCCTTGGAAAGGCCCCAGCTTCAGTGTCCATCACTGAAAAGAAAACTGATGGTTGAAATTGTTCTTAAAATGTATTTAGTTTTTTGTAATATACAGCATGTCTGCTATCCCCAGGACATCATTCACAAGGTGAGGCCTCGTGCTGAGACAGCCCTACCCTTCCTTTACATCACACTGCAGATGTGAGCCAGCACAGCTGGGGAGGATTACTTAGCAGGTGTATTCTCTTGGTCCATTCCATGTTGAAATATATTTCTAGTAAAGTATGGTATTTGAGCATTATAAATTATTTTTCTTAATATTTGTGGTCAGGCTTTGTTAAAGTATAAATAAAATTGATGAAGAATCCAGGAAGGATATGGTAAATTAAGGTCTCATTACAGCTCTAGGTAATCTGTGATCTGTCATTTCCTGGCATCCTGCATCTGGTTGTCTGTGAGGAGAGTTGTCTTTTGACCATGCACAGAAGCTGCCCATCTTTCCAAGCAGGGCACCAGCCACTTCCTTTGGCCTTTCCCTGGAAATGGGAGAACTAGAAACAGCTCAACACAGTTAGAAACACACCTTATAGAGATGCCAAAGATGCTCTGGAAACGGACTTTTCTACTTTAGGAATTCTGTAGTTTATGAAATTAATTTGTTAGCTCCAACTGTCAGCCTGACATAGTCCTCAGAGTTACCTGAGCCTTCTGTCAATTGACTGTCAGTTGAGGGATTGTGCAGATCCTGTTGACCCACTGACCTATCTCTGATGGGCTGCCTTGACTCTTGGTTGTTGTGATGTAGAAGGGCTTAGCCCACTATGGGCAGCTCCATTTCCTGGGCAAGTGGTCCTGGACTGTATTGCAAATCTAATTAGTTACACAGAAGCCAGCAACTGAGTGAGCAAACAGTGTTCCTTTGTGGTTCTGAATTCCTGTAATTATAAGCCAGATAAGCCCTTTCCTCCCCTGAGTTGCTTTGGACAGAATATTTCATCACATCAATAGAAATAAAGCTGGAGCGGGAACAGGGAAGCAGAATGCAAGGATTCTGTCAAGACGGTTACATCTGAGTGTGCTTTCATATGCAATTCTAGGGCCTGGAGGGCAGAGGTGGGAGGATGGAAGGACAGAGCAAGTTATAGGACAGCAAGACTGTCGGATAAGAAAGACAGATGAGGAGAAACTGGGTGGGAAAGATGGAGACAATCTTTTACACATAAAAACCTGTTGATCTTTTGGTTTTGTCTAGGAGAGTCCTCCTTGTCTATGAAATGCAGTTATCACAGCAGCTGGACTTGTTTCCTGAGTGCAGGGTAACCCTTCTGTTATTTAAAGATGTAAAAAATGCAGGAGACTTGAGAAAAAAGGCCATGGAAGGATCTATTGATGGCTCATTGATAAACCCCAATGTGGTAAGTACAAAACATGGGAATGAATTAACCAAGGCAGACGTTTAAGAATATGCTCATTTTACCTTATAATTCTTTTATAGTCAGGTAAAAAGCGTTTGCCCAAGTCACACTTGGGCATTTTAAATAACAAATAGAGTCTAAAATGCTGTATCCTGTTGGAAGGGCTATGGCCTAGCTGTGAGCACATGCCTGAGTTTTGTGCTTCTCATACGTGGAGTGTGAATCTGCAGAAGAAGCACAGTGTCTTAGTTACTGTTCTGTTGCTGTAAAGAGACACCATACCCAAGGCAGCTTATGAAAGAAAACACATAATTGGAGGCTGCTTACAGTTTCAGAGGCTAGTCCATGACCACCATAGTGAGGAGTGTAGCAGCAGGCAGGCAGGCAGGCATGTCACTAGGGCAGTAGTAAGAGCTTGCATCTGGCCCATGAGATGGAGGTAAAGAACACAACTGGACATATTGTGGCCTTTGAGATTTCAAAAGCCCATCCCCAGTGACACCTCACACTCCAGTGGCATCAGTAAATCCTCAAAGCCTATCTCCAGTGACACACCTCCTCAAAAGCCACATCTCCTATGATGGCTCTTCTTAGTTCTCAACCTGACTACATCTGGAATGAACTAAACCCCCCAAATGGCTGGGCATACCTATGAGGGGTCTTTGTTTAAGTGAGTCATTTGAAGTGGGAACATCCGCTTCCAATCCAGATCTTGGAAGTGGGGTGATCCTTTCATCCACCTCTAATCTGGGCCATACCTTCGTGTCCTACATAAAGGACATGGAAAATGGAAGCTCACTCAACTGCCTATAAAATAGGTCTCCTATAAAATAAAAAATAAATACTTTACTTCAAGAGAGAAGAACCAGGACACAGTCACAATTAAAGCAAAATCAAATTCCAACTGTGTAAACAACACAGTGTCCAGTATCTGGGAACAACTCTAGATCTTCTGCGCTTCTTCAAAGGGCTTGTGTTACTTCTCCAGCTCTGCCTTCTGTAGCATACACAACTTGTCTTCTAAGTTCAGGCAGCCTCTGTTCACTGCTGCTATTCTTGGGGATCATACTGGCTTCTCCAAAGTGCTGGGATCTCCTGCAACTAGGCCACACCTTCACCAATGGACTTTCCTGGTCTCTCTCAGTGCCAAACCTCAGCTACTCTCCATGACCCCTTCATACCTCCAAAACCAGTACTATCTGGGTGACTCTTGCCCAAGTTCAACTGCCAGCATAAGGTACAACCTTGACTACCTCTGGTACACAGCTTCTGTGTGCTCTCAGGAAGTTCTTCTAAGAAGATTGTACCTCAGTGATACTGGTGTTTTCTTAATTCTTGCTAATTTTTCAGTTCCAGCTAACCAGCATCAGTTATCCCTGTAACTTGAAGATTTCTTCTCAGTGGTGCTGGTCTCTTGTTAATTACAGCTGACTCTGCAATCCCAGCTGATCAGATACAACAGATTCTTTATATAAAAAGCCGTGTAGAGTCTTTGCTTCTCTCTGAAACTTCACAAGCCAGGCCTCCATTGTTCTGTTCTCAACATTCTTATTTCCAGGCTCCCACAGAACAGCTCACCGAACTCTCAGCACTCTGTGTGACGTCTATCCCAAAAGTCGTTCCACAGTCTCCTCCCCAGAACAACATAGCCAGGCCCTTCACAGCAATATTCCACTTTCCTGATACCAACTTCTGTCTTAGGATACAATTGCAATGAAGCACCACGACCAAAGCAACTTGGAAAGGAAAGGGTTTATTTATTTGGTTTACATTTCCATATCACTGTTCATCAAAGAAATCAAAGGAAGTCAGGACAGGAAGTTAAGCAGGACAGGAACCTGGAGGCAGGAGCTGATGGCCATGGAAAACAGTGCTTATTCACTTGCTTCCCATGGCTTGCTCAGCCTGTTTTCTTTACACAGCCCAGGAGCACCAGCCCAGGGGTAGTCCCACCCATACCGGCCTAGACCTTGTCATATCAATCACGAATTAAGAAAATGCTCTACAAGCCTGCCTATATATAGCCTGATCTTACAGAGGCTTCCTCCTCTCCAGTGACTCCACCTTGTATCAAGTTGACATAAAATCTAGCCAGCAGACCTTCCAGTCCTTTCTAAACAACCCACTGACTGAGAACCAAACATTCAAGTATATGGGCCTATGGGGTCCATTCTCATTCAAACCAACACAGTGACAGAGTGGTCAAGAGCATGCAGTAAGGCACCAGGTTCCCACTTACTGTGACTAGGGAAGAAGTGCCCTGTTGTTCTTTGCATTGTGCATATCCCAACAGTCCTGCAAAGGGAGTGCTGTGCATTGTCTCCCTCTGATCGGTAAGACAGCAACTTGCCTGGCTTCCACATGGTAAGCAACAGGGCTGGGATTGAAACCCCACCATCTTTATCCTGGTTACCTCATCTGTTCTGTGAATAATACTGATGTCATTGAGTATGTGGGGATTGAAGAAAACAATGCTGTTGAAATTTAGGTTGTAAAAAAAAATAAAAATAAAAAAAAAAAATTAAAAAAAAAAAAAAGCCGGGTGGTGGTGGTGCACGCCTTTAATCCCAGCACTTGGGAGGCAGAGGCAGGTGGATTTCTGAGTTCGAGGCCAGCCTGGTCTACAGAGTGAGTTCCAGGACAGCTAGGGCTACACAGAGAAACCCTGTCTCGAAAAACCAAAAAAAAAAAAAAAGAAATTTAGGTTGTGGCCTATTCTGTATTAGCCTACAGGAATCATGTAGCTTTAAAGTTATATAAATTTGTGTGTGTGTGTGTGTGTGTGTGTGTGTGTGTGTGTGTGTTGCAACAGCCCTTGAGGTCATAGTTTTTAAATACAGTCCATAAGAATCGTGATACAGGAATCTAAATTTTAGGCTAGAACAAGGAAATAGGCTTCAGGCATGAAAATGACCTTGGGCTAGGACAGGGAAGTTGGCTCAGATACTTTGGTCATCTTGATAAGCCCTTAGAAACAGTGATCATGGGAGTGTTCTCGTAATTAGGTTTAACACCTTGCTTTTTCTTTGACTGTTTGTTGTCTTGCTTGTTCCTTGATTATTTGCATCTATTGTATTGCTAGTTCCTCAACCTAGAACTGACCTTAATACATGCATGTAATCAAAATGGTATAAAAGCAAAAAGGAGGAGGGGGGATGAGATGAGGGTTCTAGGGAGGGGAAATGGGGAAAGGGGATGACATCTGTATTGTACTAAAGTTATCTCAGGAAGGTACAAGGTTGGGGTCACTCCTGATTTTTCTGTGCTAACCTTTGTATTCTCTCTGGTAGATTGTAGATCCATTTCAGATACTTGTGGCAGCGAACAAAGCTGTGCATCTCCACAAACTGGGAAAAATGAAGACAAGAACTCTGTCTACTGAAATTATCTTCAACCTCTCCCCAAATAATAATGTAATGTGGTGACTCTTGGTCTTGTCATCTGCCCCCCCACTCTCCCTGACCCCCACCCCACTCCAGTGTGACACTGAGGACCAGGTTTCTCCAAGTAAGCTGTTAGTACTAAGCCAAAGTAGTTATCTAGAGAGGTCTGGGAAGAAATGTTTAGCACTGCAAACAGCTGTGGAGTTGGTTTCTTGATCAAAGTTTAAACCACGTGGGGCTGGTATCATCTGCCCTTTCAATGTTGTCTTAAGTAGACCCCTTAAGCATTTTTGTTTAAGAAATTGACAGAAACCCACATGCTAAAACCATGAGGTATAGATACATTTTGTGTCACTCTCCATATAAATTTCTTGAGATGGAATCTATTTTTTTCATAGTCAGTACTAGGAACTTTCTGTGACCTATTAGAGCCATTGACACCTGCTCGATCACACAGCACACCACACCACAGCATAGAATTATTCATGGCTTGAAGTCTTCATAAGAATGCTTCCATTTCTCTCTCTCTCTCTCTCTCTCTCTCTCTCTCTCTCTCTCTCTCTCTCTCTCTCTCTCTGTGCGTGTGCGCGTGTGCATGTGTGCACGTGTATCTATATGATTATGGGAGTATGGCTGCCTGAGTGCCAGTGTGCTTGTGGAGGTCTAGAGAATGACCTCAGGTGTTGGTCCTTGCCTTGTTACAGATAATGTTTTGTGTACATTGTATACACCAAGTTCTCTGGCCTGTAGCTTCCTGGGTTGTTCTGTCTCCACCTCCTATCTTGCTGCGGGAACACTGGGATTACGGATGATTGCTGCTGTGCCTGGCTATGCATGGATGCTAGGGAATTGATCACTTGTGTAGCAAGTGCTTTACCTACTGAGCCATCACCCCAGCCCAACAGATCTGTTTAAATGAAAGCTATTGAGGTAATGACATTCTGTGTGTGACACACGGAAATGATGTCTGTACTCTGGTGATGAAATTTCGGTATTATTGCTGCTAATAACCAGCTACTAATATCAAAGGGAAAACTTGAGAAGTCTTTGGCATGAATTAAACCACACTTGGTTACAAAGTTTATAAAAATCAATCAGCATGGCTTCATAACTCATTAATAGAATCATTGGAAGTAATTGAAAAACACCATTCTTGTTTGAGACACAGCTCTGATGACAGAAAAACCAAATACAATCTTGACAATGAACAAGACAAAACTTAGTACCCTAAGATAAGTAACAAGAGGAATACAAATTGTGGTCTGGAAGAGTCACCTGGAGACAGAGGCAGGGGCTTTGTGTGCAAAGCCAAAAAGTCTGGACTGGATCTGGAGGAGCAAAGTGCAAGTGTAAGCAGGGACAGCAGTAGCAGGCGCTAGAAAGGGACGGCTGAAGGGAAAGGTACACTGAGAAACAGGAGGCTGACTTAGCAGGCCAGAGCTAGTCCAGACACAACACTGGCTCAATGTCTTTTGTTTCTTTCTCATAGATTTCAGAGGCTTTGAAGAAATTTGGCATCTCAGAAAGTAACACTTCAGTTCTGGTTGTTTACATTGAAGATGGAAACAAACAAGTGGATCAGGAACACATACTATCTCAGGTGGAAGGCCAACAGGTGCCTTTGGAAAGTCTTCCAGAAATAACACAGCTCTCAGAAGTCAAGAAGGTTTGTAGTGCACACTTTGAAGAGTTCAGCAGATGAACTCTGCCAACGCTGCTTGTTCATCGCTGTTGTATGAATTTTGAACCATTAACATTTTAGTTAGCTTACAACATGATGGCATTCATTACATTTATACAAATCCTGTTTCTGCTCTTTCTCATATCTGCCTCCTCTGTTATTCCCAATACCTTTTGAACTTTAGTGCAGGGCTGGAAAGATGGCTCAGCAGTTAAGAGCACTTGCTGTCCTTCCCAAGTACCTGGGACTGATTCCTGGCAGGCTCATAGCCATCTCTGCCTCAACTTCCCCAGGGAAGTCTTCTCCTGGCCTTCATGGGAACTGCATGCATGTAGTACACGTACTACAGGCAAAACACCCATACAAGTAAAGTTCTAAAAAGCTTAAGAAATAGTAACATAGTTTTACAAATTCTTGTAAAGTGTTTGTAAGTGAAAACTCAGATGTGGAATGAAAACTGTAAGAAAAGGGATCTTTTTCAATATTATGTGACTTTATGAAGTTAATAGCTAGATGTAGACTCTTAAAATTGATATAAATAAGGTTTATATGTTCAGGCAACTTGGTTTTTTATATTAATAACTACACTTCAAAAGAATATTTGACATTAGTGACAAATTGCCAACAACTTTGAATACTTTAAACATATTTGTGATTTCAGGTCATTATTGCCATAATAAAATGATAAAGCCGTATGTACATATTTATGTAAGAGCAGCACGTGGACACAGTACTCATAGACTGTCATTCACTTTGCAGATATATAAACTGTCATCACAGGAAGAGAGGATCGGGACACTATTGGATGGTATCATTTGTAGAATGTCAACAAAGGATGTTTTATAAGATGTTTAAAATGTCAACAGAAAATCGCAGTTAATCAGTAGCTTTTCTTTACTGGTTATAAAATTAACACATTCATCACAGGAAGAGGAAGAAGATACCATTACCAGCCCGATTTTTTTTTTTTTTAAGGTTTTACAGGGTCTCTCTGTACAGCCTTGGCTGTCCTGGAACTCACTCTGTAGACCAGGCTGGCCTCGAACTCAGAAATCCACCTGCCTCTGCCTCCCAAGTGCTGGGATTAAAGGCGTGCGCCATCACCGCCCAGCTTTTTTACTTCTTAAAGTTAATTTCTGTCACTGGTTTTGTCATTGTCGTCTACTCTTCTGCTTATATTTCAAGACATTTCATTTTTATACAATTGGAATAAAAAGCGCAAGCACCTAGAGAAGGCTACAGTGCTCAAGGCTCTTCCTCAGTCATCCTTGTCACCCACCTAGTACTTGTGGCTTCTCCACATTGCCCTGTAAGCTCTGGCTTCTGAGCGTTTTATGCATAAGAATCTCTTTAACTCTAAGCCAGGCATGGTGACTCAGTACAGTCTGCTACTCAGGAAGCTGAGGCAGGAGAAAGCCTCAAGTTTGAGGTCAGCCTAAAGTACAATGTCAAATCCTATCTCAAGAAATCAATAGTCATTTAACTCTCTTAGCTACTTATTAGGTGGGTATATCTTTGTGCCCACTTTATACAAGAGACAACTAAAAGAGTATAGCAGTATTAACTGGCCCAGAGTCAGGAAACTAGTATAAAACTATGTGTGATGGTTCCTTTTTCCCCTCACTTTATCTTGTATTTGATTGTATCCATCAAGATAGGCTTAGTCAAGGGTCAGCAATGCTCTGTGAAGAGCCAGATAAGTACTTTGCTCCTCAGAGGCCATCTGGGTCCTGCTGCAGTTACTCAATACCACCTTTGCAGTCTGAAAGCAACCACAGAGGACATAGTGAGTGGCCTTTGTGCAGTAAGCCTTGACTTGAGCAAGTGGTGGGCAGCCCTGGAGTTGAGGTTGTGGACTCTAGAGTTAGTTAGGATACAGTGACAGTCAGGCCCTAAAGCTCACTGGCTCAGTACAGCAGAAGGAAACATTCTGTTATCTTTAAGGCAGTAGGATCAGAGGAAAGCCCACAGCAGTGCTTGAGGAGCCGTCTGCTGGGGGCTTCTCTGCCTGGGCTTTTAGGTTACTGCACAGCTGCACAAAGCTCTGGGGAGGGCAGAGAAGCTGAAAAGCACCTACACAGGAGGGACAGGTATGCTCACTTCTTTTCATTAATACAACTCCAAAAAGGGTGACTCCTTGTTCTTCCTACCAGCACAGTCAGTTCTGCCCCTTCAGTCCCCTCTAGAGCTCCTGCAAAGCTGGGTGCCCTCTCATAGTGAGCTCTGGGGCTGTTCTCTAAGCACCATGTAGTTTGAATACACTTGACCCAGGGAGTGGCACTATTAGGAGTTGTGGCCTTGGTGGAAGTGTGTCACCGTGGGCATGGGCTTTAAGAGACCCTCCTCCTAGCTACATAGAAGTCAGTCTTCTCTTAGCGGCCTTCAGATGAAAATGTACAACTCTCAGCTCCTCCTGCACCGTGACTGCCTGGAGACTGCCATGATCCTACCTTGATGATAATGGACTGAACCGATAAACCTGTAAACCAGCCCCCATTAAATGTTGTCATTATAAGAGTTGCCTTGGTCATTGTGTCTGTCTGCCGCAGTCAAACCCTAACTAAGACATACCCCATACCCAGAATTCCTTTCTGAGTCACACCTCTTGAGTGTTCAGACAAGCCTGCTACATGGAGGGGGCAGAGAATGATGCAGAACAAAGAATAAGTGCCTCTTGCACACTTGCCCAAGATTGCCCGGAATGAAAGAAATCTTGATTCTTCGTCTCACTATTGTGAGGAGGGGTGCATAGTCTCAGTGTTCCTCCCTCATGGGCTGTCACAGGGACCACACTGAGTATGCAGCTGGAATGTTAGCTCAGGGGATGCAGGCTCCTAGGGTGGCACTGCTGGGCTCAATGTGAATGGAGAAGGTCTCACAAAAGCCCAAGGAGGCTGACCTTGGTGACGACAAACAGAAACATACTGCAGTGACCGTCAAGGCCAGCCAGGGTCAAGGGGAGCCGCCTGGCAAGGGAGGGTGAGGCATGTGGTCCTAGTGACCACGTCACCTGCGTTTGCAGTGGCATAGCAAGAGGTCTCTCTCTGTGTAATTTAAATTGGTCAGTGGCAAGGCTTGTCAGCAGGCCAGGACAAGGTTTGGCTTGACTGACCCCTCTGAAGTTAAGCTGTATCAGAGGTGATGCCAGGATGAAACAGGACCCCCAGTAATGACCAAATGTCATAAATTACTGACTTAGGGGTACCTGGGTCTCTGTGATCAGCAGTCTCTAGCCCAGGATGGAAAAGAGCAAACTCCCCCACATCTCAAACAGTATCCCAGTATCACAGAGGAACTGACTGGGAAGGAGGGGCAGCCTTGCATATATCAGCACAGCACCATATCCCATCACAGCCTTGTGTCAGAGGTTTGTAGGATGGCACAATCATGCACAAAGCACCAGAATTTCTGGAGTCTCCTTTGAACTCAGGCTAGATCAGCCTGGATCCCAGGAGTGGCAGCTATAGGATGCTTCCATCCCCATATCCTTTTAGAAATGCAGAGCTCTACGTCAGGCCTACTTAAAGTGATGCTGGCCTGGGAGGTAGCCCACAACAGCAGCTCTACAAGACTGGCCACCATGAGTCATCTTCCCTATAGAATCAGTCAATACTCTGTTCTCACCAACTGCCTACTCCTCTGCCATGACAAAAAAATACCTCTGCTGGTCCTCTTCTCAGTTGTACATCCAGCTCTGGTCTGTGACTCTTCAGATCTTGCAAGTACAGTCTACATTTGTCTCCAAGTCTTGCATGTTTTGCAGGTGATAACCTTTGTTTCTTTCTCCTTTGCCTTAACTTTGGCTGCTCTCAAAGCTCTTGATCCTTGCCCAGTCGGCCTGTTGAAGCTACTAGGCACACAGACATCTGGCACCTCAGCCAACTTAGATGCTTGCACAGGTGAGCTAGGTGAGCCATTCCTCCAGACATGGAGAAACTTCTGAACCTCAGACTCAAGTGAAATACATGCAGTAGTATTTTGCATTTTTTCCCTAATGAAACAATGCTGTTGGGCTCAGTAAAACACAGTCCTTCCAGAAACCCAGAGTGTGGCAGAGCCCATAAACCCCGACTCAGCCGGCACATACGTTAGAATCTGGTGAGCTCCAGCAAGAAGCTTTTATTGTTAATCACACTGACAGGATGGGGTTTTACTGATTCCTGCAGCAGAATGTAGAGGAGTGTGTGTGCTGCACAGGAGCATAAGGTCACAGCCTCCCCCCCACACACCCCCACCTCTTCCTAGGCAGAAGGGAAGGAGTAATTTAGTTGATTAAAGCAAATATCCATTAACCTCCATAACATACTAATGAAGTATTGGCCTGTCTTCTGGAAGCCCATGCCCAGGTAGAGAGTCATAGCACCTTGCTGCAAGATGCTAGTCTCAAGGACAACATCACTGTAGCCCTGGTCCCGTGCAAACTGGAGGACAGTTCTGACCAGTGCCTTTGCTATCCCCTGTCCTCGATGCTGTGAGGACACAGACAGGCGAAAGAGCTGCAGCTGCTTCCTCCCTAATGGAGGATCCTTGACTGGCAGAGCAGCCACTGTACCCACCACCTGTCCCCCAGACTCAGCTACCCAGAAGGAGCCATGAGCATTCAGGTAAGACTTGGTGATGTCAACCATGTCTGTCTGCAAACACTTGGCCACATACTGCTTCCAGGGCTGTCCAGCAAGGAGCCGCAGGAGTAGGAGCAGAAAGAAGAAGCACACAACAGCCAGCAGCCAGGAGCCATACACCAGGACCAGGGTAAGGGGCACCCCAAATAAGAGAAGGAGGGTTCGGGGCAGCAGCAGGACATGGCGAAAGGTGACAGGGATGTACTCTTCTGCGCCCTTGATGAACACATCCACGACACTTTCATAGTCGCTGTCCTGGTAGTGTCGGATGTGATAAGGAGCCATGGGAGACTTCTGGGCCTCAAATCTCGGCATTCGCTTGCCCGCTCTCTTTCCCTGAGTCCTACAGGAGAGAGAAGCCATATGAGTTCCCTGACCTCCCTCCCAACATCCCCAGACCCACATAGGCCCTACTCAAGGGTGTGTCTTCCTGCTGTCACCAGAGGGGGAAGCAGGACACTAACGTTGGGAGAATGTCTGTTAGTAACACCTCTTCACCCTACTAGAAGCTTTCTGTACCTCTTGACACATAAGCACAGCACAGTGCTGCAGATAAATTCCATCGAACAAGCTTTTGTTTATTGTCTGTGGACTAAATATTGCAGGCATTCTGTGTTTCCAAGTGTAATTCTGCACAATCTCCTTCCCAAGGATTATGAAAGTTTAGATTACAGAGTTGGAACAAACAAACCATTTTCTACAGCCCCTCTGCCACCCTCATCCTTGAAGCCCCAGGTAGGTTCTAGGACTCTAGGCCCACACTGGTGCCTTCCCACAGTACTGTACTTGTGTCTTCTTACCTGCTACTACACAACCAAGAGTGTCTGGAATGGCATCAGCTTCTAGTGGCATTCAGTAGAGATAGTCTAGGACTGCCTCACAACTGGGGAACAGACCTGAGTTGGCACTTCATTAGCTGGCTCCTGGATATTTGTTAATCATAAAGTGCAGACTCACAGAGCTGACAGCTCTCTGGTCGGTCATGTTCATTCACCTCTGAACTCTGGGCTAATAATTTGTAGAGAAAAGTAGGATGTAGACAGATTCACCCTCAGGGGAGGTCTGCCACCCTGCTTCCCCCTTCCCTCAGGCTGCAGCATCTCTCTGCCCTTTTTGGAAGGCAGCCTGGTCCCTGCACATGACTGCTCAGAGTGGCCTGATGTTAGCTCTTCCCACAGCAACAAGGTCCTGACCACCAGACTTTTCTCTGTCTATGCTGTTCCTGGTCCTAATAAAATGGATCCTAAGGTTCTTCACATTGCCCTCCTCCCCCTCCTCTTCCTCTCTCTCCATCATCCTTCACTCAGCCGTAGTGTCCCTTTTCATCCCCAATTATGCTCCCGTCCAGATGGTGGGCCCTGGACAGGGGACAGCTGCCAGAGCTCTAGGGGCTGCTGAGAGCTTGCACATCAGCTTCTCACATCAGCTAGCTGAGCTGTTGCTTCCCTAAGACAAGCAAGAAGGACATCTTTCTCTACTGACTGTCTCGGTGGAAGGGATACTCTCTGCCTTTGCCCCAAACCCTGACCTGAAGGCCAATGAGAACCGTGCTATCCCCATTCTTTACCCAGGCCAACTGAAGCCTGGCAAGCAGGTTCTCTGAAAGAGGTAGAGAAGCTACAACAGGATTTTTGAGGGAATTTTGAAGCCAGGGGAGAATGGGACACCGTCACAGCTGTAAAAAAGGACCAGAGAAGATGCTGAGATGTCCAGATGGAAGTAGTGAGGTTTTTCAGAAAGGATACCCAACACCTCAGAATAGGTTGATCTCCTGAGCAGTGATGGGAGGGAAGCTGGGATGCTCCTGAGGCTGGACCATCCTCCGGAAAGGAGGGTCTTTATAGCACTGCCTTGTTATACAGGACCCGAACAGTTAAGTAGTGCAGATACCCCGTTCCAGATGCATGTGAGGCTATGAGTGCATTAGCTGGGAAGCTGAGTGTCAGGTGTAATAGAGAAGGCATTCGAACGGCTTGGCAAGACAAGGGTCCCCAGATGTGTAGGCTGCATGCTGGAAAAGGCCTTGGCCAACAAGGTGTCCTGGAAACTAACACTCAGTGCTGGCTCCCAAGAGGAACCCGGTCACAGAGCTAAGTTAGACATAAGGACAAACACGTTTCTTAATTTCTCGAGGGATTCTCTATCTAAAACACTGTGGGCCTAGTAGGTTTATTGTTTGTAAGGGACACATTTATCAGTATCAACCATCGGTATTAGAAGTGTGCCTAAGATTCATGTACCTGTCCATTATGACACAGCCCAGACAGGGAAATCTAAATCACCTTGAGGTGCATTTAGGGCAGAAATGACAAGGAGTCAGCACCATTCAGCAGGGGATAAGCAGGAGGACAGCTTCATAGATAGGGACCAGGCTGCAGCTAAGCATCTAATCCATGGTTTCTCAGCCTTCCTAATGCTGCGACCCTTGAACACAGTTCCTCATGTTGTGGTGACCCCCAACCATAAAATTATTTTGGTACTACTCTATGACTGTGATTTTCCTATTGTTATGAATCAAAATGTAACATGTGTTTTTCATAGTCTTAGGTGGGCCCCGTGAAAGGATCTTTCAATCCTAGAGGGGTCACAGCCCATAGGTTGAGAACCACTGATGTAGGTTCACTGTTGGCTCTGCAGGTGTGTACTTACACAAAGCCCTGGATTCAGTCTCCAGCACTGCCTTCCTGTCCCCCAATGGAAACAGCAATGACATTAAATTAAATCACACAAATGCAAAATGCATGAAACACAAAAGTACAGCTAAATCATGGAATTTTTCTTTTATTTAAACAAAACAGAAAGGACTTATTAAGCAAAAAAAGAACGTTTTTTGGTCGCTGAAAGGCGATCCAAAAATGTCAACTATTTTATACCTAGGTATACCTGGGGACCCTTGTTGTAATTCTTGGGTATTTTGAAGATTTTATCATGTAGCTCAGGCTGGCCTGGAACTCACAAGACTCTTGTTTCTCCCTCCCAAGTGCTTGGGACCACAGCCATGGAGCACTAACTGTAGTGTTTTTAAAAACCTGTACACAAAGAAAAAATATTGAAGAGAACGAATACCAAAGTTAAATGTTCACTTCTGATTTGCTAGAATTGTCTTAAAGTTTTTTGTTTTTGAACACAAAAGGGATAGGGGTGATTTGTAAATAGTTTCCGGATACACAATATCAGGCCACCAATATGCAATTCTAACCTATCCTGATGGTTATGGGGTCCTTCAGGAGGAAGTCGGAGCTGAATCTAAAGCCCTAACTTTATGACCCTGGGACCAGCATGTAGAGTCTGGACACTGCCCGATTCAATTCCTGGATGACATGACCTGGCCTCAGCTTAGGGTGGTAAGGCTTTCCAACAGGGTGTCTCTGTCCTCTGGGCTTTCTGCCTAGGCTCCTCCCGCGGAGGCCATCACAACTCTCCGACGCGCCTCCCTCCCAGCTCTGGGCCAGACTCTGCTCCTCCTGCTCAGTCTCGAGCATCGCCTGCAGGGGGCGCCCCAGTGCGCGCAGCCGAGAGGCCTTCCGTCCCGAGCCGCGCTCCTGAGACTATGTCGCTCTCCACTCGCGGCCTGGGAGGGCTCGCGACAAACACTGGCAAAGATACGTACACTTCGCTCACAAAACTGTCCGCAGGGAAAGAGTTGTGGCTCCGGCTGGGCAGAACCCGGTATCATCTTGCCACGCGGCTTAGATGATCGTCCCCCGGAAGCAAACCCCTGCACTTCCAGAAGTAGGGGGTCAACATCCTGAGTGCTTCAACTGACTCCTCCCCTTGTGAGGGCAGAGTGTGCTGGCGAAGGAAATAGGCTTGTCGGAACCTTCCTGTGGGAGGGATCCATGGGTGGAGGCTAGGTTGTAAGGTTTACTGAAGATTTATACGAGAGATATTAATCACTTTCTTACTGTGATAAAAGTATTAACCTAAATAAAGTGAGCACACTTTTTCCACTACTAGAGACCCCACAATCAGTTTTTACTTTGCTTCGCGTTGTCCCACCAGTCACTGGGAGTACCCCTGGACCCCACAGCCCTCCTCAGGGACTTGCTTCTGGGACTTACCTAACATTAAGTATGGTCTCTATATCCAGAGTAGGTTAGGAAGGTCATGTGTGATCCCTGAGCCTCCCAGCCAGACTACACATGCCACAACTTGTTTTCTATTTTCCTTGGTTGGGGTTTGTCTTTTATCAGTACTTTGTTTACATGGAAGGTGTCTGGTGATATGTGCAATAGTGGAACGCTAGGCTGCCGGTATAACTCTTCTAATTAGGATAGTGGAGAAAGCACACCATAAAGGGCCATTTTGAATCAGTGACTGGAGGAGGTCAGGAAGTCTTGCCTTTATCTGGGAGAGCAGCACTTTGAGCAACAGTTTAAGAATTCTGAGAAAACTGGCTTGTGGGCTTACAAACTATGTGTGAATCCTGAATTTTATGCTAATAGGCAAACCCTCTACCACTGAACTACAACCTTATTTTGCTTTTAATTTTTAAATTTATTATGACATAATAAGTCTGGTATCCATGATCTGGCATGATAGTACAGTCAAACCACATATACATCTATACAGTAACCATCTATATGAACTGGCATCCAGAAAAGGTAGTGAACACATTATAAACACTTAACAAACATATGTCAAAGGAAAAAATAAAACAAGCCATATGAAAAGAGACCCAACCTTAGTCATGGATGAAGTAAAACTTCAAAATAAGACTCTACACAAATTGATTTAGCTCAACAGGAGAAATGTAAAACTAGTGTCAAAAGACACAACTTCATATATTAAAGTTCTGAATGTAAAGTGATAAAAGCACTTTATAAAAGTTTACTGCTTTAAAAAATTGAACCCTTGATTGATAAAGTGTTTGCCTTGCAAGTCAGATACCTGACTGGGATCCCTAAAACCTACATTTAAAAAAAAAAAAAAAAGGCAGGCTGGAGAGATGGCTCAGAGGCTAAGAGCACTGATTGATCTTTCAGAGGTCCTGAGTTCAATTCTCAGCAACCACATGGTGGCTCACAACCATCTGTAATGGGCTCCAATGCCCTCTCCTGGTGTCTCTGACATCTACAGTGTCACTCATATAAATAAAATAAATCTTTAAAAAAAAAAAAAAAAAAGAAAAAGAAAAGGCTGAGTCCTGGGTCCTGTTGCTTGCTTGTAATTCCAGCTCAAGTAAGACAGAAGCAATGGAACCCAGGGTCACTGGCCAGCCAGCCTAGTTTACAGGCAAATTCCAAGGACTGCAAGACCTGTCTCTGCCCCGGCCTGCGGGGATTCGACAAGACCTTAGGGAAGGGGATGAATAAATGAAGGGACAAGAGACACAAGGAATGAGAGCAAGTCTGGGGTTCTGATCAAGCTCTGAATGTCAAGCTCTGACATGTCTCAAAAAGAGATAGATGATAGTTTGGAGCTGGGTATACACACCTTTAATCCCTGCATTCAAGAGGCAGAGGTAGGTGGATCTCTCTGAGGGTGAGGCCAGCCTGGACTACATAGTAAGCTCCAGGCCAGCCAGAGTTACATGGTGAGATGCTATGAGTTAGTTCCTGAGGAATGGTATCTGAGGTTGTAGCAGCAGCTGGACATATGAAGAGTTCACACTATCAGTCCATTTACAAAAAACAAATTTACAATGTCACAAGAGATCAGTAATTCTTTGGAAAAGCTAAACTTTCATTGTGGCTTCATACATAGACACATGTACATAGTTTCGGTTTTATTGCTGTGAAGAGACACTGTGACCATGGCAACTCTTACAAAGAAAAACATTTATTTGGGACTGGTTTACAGTTTCAGAGGTGGAAATATGGCAGCCTGCAGCAAGCATGGTGCTGGAGAAAGAACTAAGAGTTCTACGTCTTGATCTTAAGGTAGCAGACACACTAGGTGTAGCTTGAGCATAGGCCTAGGCCTCAAAGCCTGCCTCCACAGTGACAACAGTTCTTCCAAGGCCACACCTCTTAATAGTGCCACTCCCTATGGGCCAAGCATTCAAACACATGAGTTCATGGGAGCCATTCCTTTATTCATTTTATTTATTTATTTGTTTATTTATTTATTTGGTTTTTCGAGACAGGGTTTTTCTGTATAGCCTGGGTTATCCTGGAACTCACTCTGTAGACCAGGCTGGCCTTGAACTCAGAAATCCGCCTGCCTCTGCCTCCCAAGTGCTGGGATTAAAGGCGTGCGCCACCACCGCCCGGCTATGGGGGCCATTCCTATTCAAACCACCACACATACCAAAGAAATTGTAAACACCTTTAATGTATACCAATTGTATCTTTAAAAATCATTTCAAAAGCACAGTGAGACAAAATATCTTTTTAATTCAAAATAGCTAAAATTTGAGTTAGAGAGACAGCCCAGGCATTGAGGGATGGAGAGGTGGGGACAAGTGGAACTCTGACACTGGCTGGCCAGTTAGCTTACTCAGGCAAGCTCTATGCCAATAAAACACCCTGTCCCAAACATAGAACAAACAACTCCCATCTCCCAGAAAACAATGTGGAACTGGACATGGTGGTACATGCCTTTAATCCCAGCATTCCAGAGACAGGCAGGCAGATCTACACAGAGAAAAGCGGTCTCAACCAACCAAAACCAAACAACCAAAATCAAAACCAACCAACACACCTCCCCCCCCAAAAAACCCCAAAACCAAACACCGCCCCCCAAATTCCCAAGGTGGACAGTGACTTCTGAGGACACCACACACACACACACACACACACACACACACACACACGAGTGTGCACACACTACTATTTGCTAGTAAGGTGTAACTGGAACACTTATTTCTTGTTGATAGAATACAAAATAGTACACCTGTTTGGGAAAGTTTGACAATTTATTATAAAGTTAAACATACACGGCAGCATTCCACTTCAAGGGGGGGGGAGATGTTTATATAAAATCTTATATAAAAATTTTATATTTAAAATTTTAAAAAAACCCTACAGACAACCTAAATATTTTTTAACTGGTCGATGATTGAGCGAAGTGCAAGACATCTATCAGAACTCAGCAACAGGGGGAAGAGTGAGCAGCCGATCCATTCTGTAACACAGACCTTAAAGCCAGTAGCAAATGAGAAATGCCACTCAGAAGTCTATATCCTAACTTCACCTGCATAGCACTGTAGAAGAGGTCAAACAACTACTGGAGCAGCAGTTGCCAGGGCTGGGCTGATGGGAAGAGCTGTCAATCAAGAGGGGCACTGTGAGGGTGGACTTTGGGGCTGCTGTATATTCCTTGGTCAGGATGTGGAAAACCTATACTAGAAAGGAATTCATTTTAGTTTTCTTAAAAAAAAAAAAAAGTTATCTCAGAGCTAATGACCCTTCTTCCTACAGATGCAAGGGAAAGCATTATATGGCGTTCAAAAGTTGGTTCCGAATGTCATGCTGTGAGGTGGGACTTCATAAACAGTCACAACTGACCACGTTGTTAAACTGAATATAATCTTAATCCAGATTCTAAGACTTATCCCCATGTCATGCAAATATAACCCCAAACGAAACCTTAATTACTGATAAATTGTTACCTCAATATAACTGATATTGGTATTCTCAAAAGCTCCCAAGTTTTTGTAGTACGTCAGGTCAGTAAGAGCAGGTATTATCAATCAGCTTGCTTGCTTGCTAGGGCCGCCTGTCCTGTCCTCTCCGGAGGGAGCGGATTATCCACCTCACCCTCTGGCAGCCCCTCAGGGAGTCAGATCCCACGGCCTACTGTGTCCCATCCCCCTTTAGTTGAAAGTGGGGTTATATTATAAAAAAAAAAAAAAAAAGGACGTGGTGTGGTAGAGCCAGAGGTTCCATGTTCCATGTACATCAGAGTCAAAGCTTCCTACTTGGCTGGGAACTTTTTTTTTTCATGATAGGGTTTTTCTATGTAGCTCTGGAACTCCCTCTCTGGCCTGGAATTCAGAGATCTGCCTGCCTCTGTCCCCCAAAGGACTGGGATTAAAGATTTAGCTTGGGAATTTAAAGACTCATTTGCAAAGGCAAGACAGGATGTATTCTTCACTGCAAAAAGGCACTGTCATACTGTGCCACTCTGCCGTGGCACAGAAACTCTGCGTGGCACAGAACCTGAAGTAGTATATTATTTAGTACAGTGTACACAAAGTGTGCTGTGGAAAGAGATCATTCACTGGGCCAGGGCTGAGGGAGAAGACTCTCTAGAGACTGGATCATACAAGAATGCCTGGCTCAGAGACCACAGCACCGAGTGCAGCCGAAGAACAACTTTAGAGACAGTCAGTGGATGACCACAAAATTGCTAGCATTCAGACAGAGGGGTGAACAATGAAGAAAGACTTGAAAAGCCAGCTTGCAGCCAGATACAGTCCCTGCTCCAAGGTCATAAGCCATTTGACACTCTCAAGAGGAAAGGAGCACAGGAATTTGTTTTCAGGACACAATTCTGGGAAGCTGTAAGTTTTACTGGAAAGGATATTTAATTAGGATTCCACATGGGACCACCCTCCATTGTGTGGGTGTAGTAAACATGTAATAGTCAAGATATATACTGTTGTTTGTAAGAAAAAAAGAGCTAAGTCTTAGAAATTAAAATTTAGAGCTGGGCATGAGAGCAAGCACCTGAAGTCTCACTTGCTCAGGAGACTGAGGCAGACAGACTATTACTGTAGGCAAGGCTAGTCTACAGAATATACTGAATCCCTTTAAAAACTTTAAAAAAGCACCATCCTTCCACAAGGCCTATGAACTGTGTGACATGGACAGAGCCAGAACAGTGTGTGTAAGGATGAAAGTTACTTATGAGTTATCCGATGATAAAGGTGTTGGCAATCCAAAGGTAGAGGAACAGGGCAGATAGCAGAAACAATTCCTGAAGGTGGCAGAGGTCAATGCAATGGCCCTCCCCTGGCAGTGTCCTCCAGAGGCAGCTTGCTAATGTGCTCTTTGAATGGGTGCACTTCTGTACTTGCCCCAGCTTTGTCCTCTTGGTTCCTAACTGTCTGCTCCAGTTTCTGACACTGGACAATACACTGCCCCAGTATATTCTGAGGAAGAATTCTGCAGGGGAGTCTCACAGCAAGAAGCACTTTGAATCTGTTAACGTGATGAGTAGAGAAAAACTTTAAGAGCCATCACTGGAGTGCAGAGCAACTTGACTGAGAAATTTGTTGCAGGCCAGAACAGATGAACTGCTGGAACCTCATTAGGGAGAAGCTCCCTCCACATGTTCATACAGGAGAGAGAAAATAACTACTGTGTGCATCAGTTGGTCAGTTTTACAATCCTTTAGAGGCTTAAAAGATAGAAGCCAAACTGCCTAGTCCTTCACCAAACACTTGCTGTGTGTGGACTATGTGTTATGAGGAGCAACTTCCTGAGTGAGTTCTAAGGTGAAGTAATTAGCACCTCCATGTAGCCTGAAGTGTGCTCTAGAAAAGAGCACCATTCCAGCGTGGGAGGCCAGTGGACAGAGGTCCCCCACTGAGGTCCTCAGGGTCAGCACAGCCCTCAGTCTTCCCAGATATCCAGGGATGTATGACATTCCTAGTCTGCTCAACATTTAAAATCTACAGAGGTTTTCTAGCCTTCTGGACAGTTCTACCCTGTTGGTGGCAGTTACCTCGTCAAGTAAATTATAATTTAACCAGCACGCTGGTTTATCAGTTAGTTTCTTCTTGCCTAACTTGGCAATCAATCAGTCCCTAAAATTTTATACTTCTCTGTGTTAGATGCCATACCTGGCAGGTCAGTAAAAAGCTGGTCAAATCCCAACACTGACTACCAAGGAAAAAACGCTGATCAGAGTCCCACAAGGACAGAGAACAGGTGCAAAGAAAGGAACTGTCTCCTGGCTAGAGTTTTAGTAGAAAATATGAACAGTCATGGAAAACAGATGCCCTTAAAGACTGTCAGTAAGGGACACGGTAAAACACTGTAAGTCTCTGCACTACACAACACATTCCAGGCTTGAGCAATGAAAATATACAGGGAAAACAAAAGGCAATGAAAAATGTGCAAGTTTGTGTTAGTTTATCTATTTGGAATTTTTTGAGGAAAGTTGAGGCCTGGAATGGAGGTGTTCTAGACTGCCAGAACCACCAGGAGGGAGGTAAAAAGCAAGGAAATTCACCTTCAATTCAACACACATGAAGGAATAGTAAAACAGTTTAAAAAGTTAAAAATGTTCAAAAAAAAATGTTTTTAAATTCCTTTGACCTGATTTTATTAAATCATCCAGCCGTCTTCTGTCCAGCTCTGATCTCAGGTGGCCCCTACGACAGGCCAGCCACAGTGTGCCTCACAGGTTCCATTCCCAGTAGGCTGGGTAGAAAGGTCTCTGGTAACTACCAGCAGTCCACTTCTTATTGTAGGTTGCCTGACTGCCATTTGGCCTCCCGTTCCAGAAGAATCTTCTTTGTGAATAGTACTCTCCAGCTGGACCAGGAAGAGGGACAAGGCTTCTCTGATTTTGTGACCATTCTCTTAAACAAGAAGAAAGAAATCATTATCAACGTTTACATATAATAATAAGCTTTATAAAAGAATACAGAGACACTCTAATTCCACTCTCTCCTACTTAGATGACCCGAGCAGACAATCACTTCTCTCTCCTTATGTTTTATGAACTGGAACTAGGACTGGGGAGACAGACGGCTCAGTGAGTACAGCTCATACCATACAGAGATGAGGACTTGGGGCTGGATCCCCAGAACCCACAGAAAGCTGAGAAACAGCATGTGTCTAAAACCCCTATGATAATATGGGAGGCAGAGACAGGAGGATCCCAGGAAGCTGGAGGGCAGCTAGCCTGGCAGGTCAGTGGAACCACGGATAAGGTCAAAGTGTGAAAAGTGACACTCGGGTTGTCCTCATGCAGGCCCTCTCCCTTCTCTCCCCGCCCACCACAAAATCTCACTCCGTCCAATTTCCTTAGCTGCCTCTTTGGTCTCTACCCTGTTCCATCATTCCGACTGCTGTTACGGTTGGTTGTGAGCCGTCACGTGGATCTGGGAACTGAACCTGAGTCTTCTGCAGGAGCAGTCAGGACTCTCAACTGCTGAGCCAACTCTCCAGCTCCTGCTACGATTTATCGTTATAAGTTTCAATTTCAGTGGCTTTTTAAAATGTCACAGTGTGGTTATGGTCACTTAGCTGTATTCCCACTCTTAGAATCACAGGCTACTACCAGTTTTCCTACCATCAATATTTTGAGGATTAGCACCTCATAATATATACTACTGTAAACAGAGCAAGGAAATTCACCTTCAATTCAACACACATGAAGGAATAGTGAAATAGTTTAAAAAGTTAAAAATGTTCAACAAATTTTTAAAATTGTTTTGATCTGATTTTATTAACTCATCCAGCTGTCTTCTGTCACCTAGCTCTGTCTTAAGACAGTAGGATTTGAAAAGTATAGTCTTAAAATGGAGTATCAGGTATGAACATCTTTATGGTCATTAAAACTGACCCAATGCCGGGCGGTGGTGGCGCACGCCTTTAATCCCAGCACTGGGGAGGCAGAGGCAGGCGGATTTCTGAGTTCGAGGCCAGCCTGGTCTACAGAGTGAGTTCCAGGACAGCCAGGGCTACACAGAGAAACCCTGTCTCGAAAAACAAAAACAAAACAAAAAAAAAGACTGACCCAAAAGGGCTATTCCCACTCTCAGTGTTACTGGCAGCATCTTTTTGAAGGTGTGACAATGTACCAACTTGCTTTACAGATGTAGCAAGGTAACAACTATTGTTATGGGTTATGCATTTGAAAATCTCCACCTCAGACAATGGAAATCAGAGATGTGGTCTCACCCAAGATTGCACATAGTATGAATGGCAGAGTAAGGAGATAAATTCAAACCCAGCCTGACTGTCACAACCCTCAAATGCTCATAAAAACTTAAGCTAAATTAATGGCCAAAACATTTTGCAAGCTATGGTTGTTAATTTTATGTAGCATCTTGACTAGAGTAAGGAATAGCTAGAGCTCATGAGGCGTTATTTCGCATCTGTCAACCAGAGTTTCCAAAAAAGACTGAAGCATATCAAGCAGACTGAGTAAGGAAGGTCTGCCTTGCACGTGGGTGGGCAAACATTACCCGGATGAGACAGCAGTACAATACAAAGCAGAGCAAAGGCAAGTTCACCCTCTCTCCTGCTCTTCTAACCCAACTCGAAGGCTTCTCTGGTTTCCTCACAACTCCTAGACAGTCACCACGCTCCTTTGGTCTGAGCCACACTACTGGCAACCTTGGGTCTCCAACTTACAAGGGGCTTGTTGGGGGACTTCTCAGCCTACAGTGTTACACGAGTTAGTCACCCTAATAAAGGCCCATCTTATCTGCCTGCCTGCCCACCTTCCCTCCCTTCTCTATCTTCCCTTTCTCTGGAGAATTCTAACAGACAATTTTGACTCAACAGAAAATTTCCTCATTTCCCAATTGAAATTCTTTTATGATTTAATCTGCTCAAATCATGTGTAAATATCTCTATTATGATTTTACTCTCTTCGAAACCCCCTCCCCTCTCTCTGAGACAGAGTCTCGTAGTCTATGCTGACCTGGAGCTCACTATATAGCCAACAACGAACTCCTGATCAAGCTTCCTGTCTCTACCTCCCAGTGCTGGACTATGAGCATACTACCCTGAATGGCTTTGTATCTGTTGTTTAAATGACAGCCTTCTGTATGCCAAAAAAATTGAGTCTTAAAGCCTAGGGATATACTTCAGAGGTAGAAACTTGGGTTTTGTCCCAAGAATGCAAGATTTTATTTTCTAGTAGGCCCATCTAGCTTCTCTTAGATTAAGCTAATTAAAAAATAAAATAACATTTTCTTTTCTCAGCTGTGTCTGAAGAGATACACATTTTCCATCCAGTGTTTGATTTGCTAAGCAGCATGATTGACCCTGATCAGGAAGGAAATACCAACTGCTGGTCATTACCACGATGGACTTTCCCCGGGCTTAAAATACAGTTTCCACCTCAGTTCTAGGAAAGGGAGAAGCACAGGTACCTGAATGAGTATGGTGAGCTCTGGATATGAAAATTCTGGGAAGATGCCAGATGACCACCACGCCGCTTCTTCCTAGGTCCTTTGTTCACACGTTTGTTAGTGGTGTGGACTTGCTCCGTAAGATGTGCTGGGTCTTCAAGATCACCTGACCTAGATGCACTAACATTCCGGTTCCTGAAAGAGAAGTGTGCCCCAGTGTCACCAGATCCCAGTTCTATGTATTTTGATTCGTGAATATTTGGTCTCATCTCGCCACTCTTAGCTGTTTAGGTTTTGCTCAGCAAGTGAGCAAAGTGCCAGGGAAATGTGCTGCTTGAATTATATCAAAGAGGCGTCCCTAGCTACAAATCTCACCCAAGAAATGGAAGACTTACTTTTTGACACGACGTTTCTGTAGGTTTTCAATGTAGTTCTGCCTTTCTATGCAATGGCCCCGGCACCTGTTGAATACTGAGGAGTGGATGAAGATGAACCGTTAGAAACAGGTGCACCAAAAGGAATTTAGCCCAGAGAACGCAGATCAGAGCTCATATTCACTGACTAATCAGGGGATAGAAGCTCAAAACCTAATTAGCTGAAACTTACTTTCTTACTTTATTATACAGTTCATTTTTTCTAATCACCACAAGCATAAATATAGTTATTTAATGATCTTTAAGTACACTAGTTTACCTTGACTGAGTCACAGGCTGGTGCCCCTCACTACTGCAGACATGGTCCTCGTAAGCTTTGGCAGAAGGCTGCCTTGTATTCCTACCCTTGCTCTTTCTTTCCTCTGGCGCTGGAGAGCACACTCAGGCTCCACACACGCCGAGCAGATGTTCTGCCGCTGAGCCACATCCCCAGCCCCACGAGCAACACTCCTTCCTTCCTTCCTTCTCACTCTCCACTTTCTTTCTGGCATCTTATGCATCACATACATGATTTTTTCCAAAGATTGGTAAGTGGCTCTACCATTTCCACCTCTTGCTTTTATAGGAAGGGAAAAATAGTGGCACCCCTCATACTTACATTCAATTGCATCATCTGGCCTCATGCCTTCTACATCAATCAAATATCTAACAAAACAACATAATTTGGGTCACTTAAATATACGGAAAGAAAAAAATCAAAACAGGTCCAATTTCATGTACAAGTGGAGACATAGAGATCCTAAGAAAATACTATATATCAAATCCAACAGTTACAGAATGACATGCCATGACCATAAGAAAAGACTACTCTAAGACTGACTAATTTAGAAGTGTATTAATAAAGGTATTTATATTAATATAACAATATAATTAACAAAGGAAATGTACGACCAACTGGCAATGTTTAAAAGGCAGATTCAGCAGTCATTTCCATCAAACTGCTTTGTGAACTAACACACAGAAGGCTTCCTTAATATCACTGTGTATTCATCAGTAACCAACAAAACAACAGGGAAAAATAGTAATGGAGCCAAACGATATGGGCCAAAACCGGGAACTAACATCACTGTCACCTACTTTTCCTGATTTTCACTTTCAATCTACCACCAGGGTCCTGACAGTGATGACCACCACATCCTTCTACCAAAATGACCTTGACATCTTGGTCCAAGTGACCATCTACAAACACCTAATGTACAAAAACCTATTGACTCCTTGCCTCTACCACTCCTGAATATTCTTTACTCAGCAGAAATAAATGGGATTCAACACACCCCTAAAAGATGCAACAACAAAAACTCAAGCAGCTGAAACACCACTTGGCACGGCCTAGCTCTAACTCCTTCCTGCACCTGAAGCTCCGCTTCAATGCCATACTTACCGCACTGCCCACCGCCTCCGGCACAGTATATGGGATCCTATTCTAGGGGCTTGGCTGAGCCTTAAGTCCACAGTCTCTTCTGTACCCTCACTCAGTCAGTACTAGTTCAACCCTCCATGGAAATGTTCTGTCTTCTTGATGAGATAGGTCAGAGCCTCCCTCTCATTTGCTCTCAAGGAACCATGTTCCTGTACTCCTCAGCACTTGACAGTGATCTTCCTTCCTCCCTCCCTTCCTTCCTTCTTCTTCCTCTTCTAGTCTTCCTTATTTCTTCAGAGGCAGGTTAAATAAGTATCTTTGCCAACACTCACACTCCTCACACAAACTATAGCTCAGTAAAGACTTTTCGTGTGGATGAACATAAAGTCACACGGCACAGTAATTCCTTAAGAAGCACCGAAATGCATCTGAATTTAGTGCATCAGTGGATCCAAAGACACTCATACCATTTTAGTGTTTTATCAAACCCCAAACTTCTGACTTGTATGTTCATCAGCATGCAAAAAAAAACCCAACAAAAAACAAAGAAACAAACAAAAAACCAAACCAAAACCAAAAAGCAGGGCAGCCTTTAAAAAATAAGGTCTGCAAATATTTCCAAAAAGATTCCTACTGCATATTAAGTTGCAGAACTGAATGTCTACTGTACTCTAAGCCACACAGATGTGCTTATACCTACATCTGTAAAGTCTATAATGGGATTGCTGATGGCAGTCTGAGTAGAGGCAACACTGCTCAATAATTAACTCACTTCTATGGACGTTTAGATTACCACTGTAACCATACACACACTATACTATTTGACTTTTGGGTTGGAAACTCACCTGCAAATGAGGTATCCAGTCCTATTTAAGCCATGGGTGCAGTGGACACCAATAAGTTTGTCTATAAAGTAGAAAATACAGAGGTAAGAAACAAGATACACCAAAAATAAGTTATACAATTTCTCAAGAGTAAGACTTACAAGTTAGTGAAATATCGCTACTATGTTGAAAGGGACTTTAAACACATGCTATCAAGAATAACCTACCAAAGGCTCACTGTTGTGGAAATTTTGCAAGAACTGGTTAGATAAAATGATGCATACTGTAGAAGTACCACCAGGATGCATTAGACAAAGAGATCTGTCTTAATATGAAGAGGAAACTGGAGTGTGTGTGTGCTACCAGCTGACATTTTCAAAGACAACAGACCTAATATTAGGATAGTAACAATATCAAGCTGCCCTGGAGAGACGGCTCTGTGCTTGAAAGCACATCTGCTCTTGACAAGGACCCAAACTCAGTTTCCAGCACCCATGATGGATGGCTCACAACTGGCTGTAACTCCAGCATGAGGGAATCTGATGCCTCTGGCCTCTCGCAGTACCTGCATTCATATGCACATAGCTACAAGCATACACACATAATTAAAAATGGTTAAAAAAAAGTTTCTAAACCTATTCAAAATGTATAACAGAGTTCAGACAAGGAAAAGAAAACAAACAAACAAAAACAAACAAACTATAGGGACTTACCATTGTTTTTATTTTTCTTTAAAAACTCTTTAACTGCACATTTGAACTGACAGATAGTGTTATTATCAGGTACCTGATGACCAACTGTAAAAATTTTTATGTAAGAAATAGTTTCTGGCAAATCCTAGAAAGCAAAACAAAGACAAATATACATTATTTCATTTGTAAGTAGATAAGAAAGATTTAAGAAATCTGAATATAAACTGATAATGATAAACTCACTATGATAGCACTTCTGACTAAAGAGCCACTTCTTATAAAGCTGTTTCAACCAGGAAATAGAACTTAGTTCTCATTAAGACTATAGGACAGTCACTAGGTATACAGAACACACCAAATTCAATGTGAATCAGGGTGTATATATGGGGTAACTAAACATTATGTAAACAGTTCTACCTAATAATTATTTCACTCTTCTGTGCTTGCACAAAGTAGTAATGTGCTGGGCAAAAGGAGCTATGAATAACAGAAAGAACAGGGGAGGTAGTGGCTAGAGAGATGGCTCAGAGCTTAGCAGTGCTTGCTGTTCTTCCAGCGGACGTAGTTCAGTTCTCAACACCCATGTCTGATGGCTCACAACAGCCTGTAACTCTTGCTCCAGAGGATCCGGCGCCCTCTTCTGACCTCAGCCGGCACCTACATACATGCGGCAGACACTAACACAGACAGACACAGATACACAGATACACAGACAGACAGACACACATACACACACACACACAATAAATCTCAGGGGAAAAAAGAAAGGTTAGTTGAAAATCTGTAACTCTGGGTTTAAGTGGAAAGCACTATCACAAATTTTAAGAGTTCTGGCTCTGTCTACAAAAAAGCTTCCTGACAACATCAGTCTATTAGCAATAAATAGACCCGATGCTCATGTATCTGAAAAACTATCAGTATTGAATGGACACAAAGCTTTCTGCAATGGCTGAGTCAGCCTGGAACAGGAAATAGTTAACATGAGCCTGGAATGTCTTTCATGCAAAGTGATCACAAATGATCAGGACATATCAAAAGATTAGCACTGAGAAATGGTTTAATGTCGCTGAGGAGCTATTGGCAGCTGATAGCTATTTGGGGAGGGGAGGTCAGTTTTCCTCAGGGGTGTGGCCCTGGGTAGTGGGTCATGCTCCAGTAGATGGCTTTAATGCACGTGCACGTCAGCAGCACTAATGTTGGACTTGGTGGATTATTTTTAAATGCAGAATGGGGGTGGGGTGGAGGAACGGCTTTCAGGGTTGGAGCTTAAGACCTGGGCTGAGTTCCCAGCGCCCACATCAGCAGCTCACAACTACCTGTGACTCCAGCTCTAAAGGATCTGACTCCTGCTGCTAGCCTCCACGGGTTCCATCAAACATGTGGTAAACTTATAAAAGACACATAAAAGAAGAGGACATGACATTGGAGTGTAAGTCAGGAGGAATTAGCTGTGGTAATGGGGTGATTGTGATCAGAAAAGTGTATGAAGTTCTTAATAATATTGTTTTAAAAAGGTTTTAGGAGCCAAACTGAGAGGCCTCAAGTATCGAAAGGCCCTCCACCTGTGCTCCAATTCAAAAAGGCAACTACAGGGGCATTTGTAATGACAGAAAAAAATTAACTAAATAAAATTCGACTAGTCACTATTGGCAGGTATCAAGGGGCCAAGATATTACTATGAAAGATGTTACACAGAGGAAAGAATCCTGTGGACATCACTGAGTAAATAAACAAGCAGAAACTTCATTAAATAAAACATGAATGATAAAATTCACCTTGTATAGCCTGGTATGGTGGCGTACACCTGTAATCCTAGACCCTGGGAAGCTGAGGCAGGATAATCTTGAGTTTGAAGTCAGCCTGGGCTACACAGCAAGAGCCTGTCTCAAAAAAGAAAAAAAAAAGGATGATCAACTTTTTGAAGCCTCAAAGGAACTAACAGATCAGTCATTAATTAACTAGTAATACCATAAGAGACAAGCACTCATTATATGCCCCCCTAACTGAAGGACATCTGATCACTTATGAAAACGTCTTGTGTCAGGCACAGTTGTGGTCTTTCTGTCTACAAGGATTTCAAGATCAGTCAGGCCAACAAAAAAGAACCCATCTCGAAATATATAGACATGCTCAAAACTGCCATGTTAAAAGGAAAATCAAGGTAGCCAGAAAATGGTTCATAGTTAAGAGCCTTTACTGTTCTTGAAGAGAATGAGGGTTTAGTTCCCAAGACCCAGATAGCCAGTCACTGTGTGCAACTCCAATTCTAATGGCTCTGACACCGTTTCTAAATTCTGTAGGCTCCAGCATGAATGTGTTGTACACAAACTCATGCCAGCACACAAACATACATTAAAACAAGGACTTTTTAGAAAAGGAAATCAAGCTGGGAATGGTGGTCCATGCCTGTAATCACAGCACTTGGGAGGTAGAGGCAGCAGGATCAGGAGTTTAAGGCCATCCTCAGTGACTGAGAACATCCTGGGCTATATGAGACACTATCTTAAATTTAAATGAATAAATAAATAAAGGTAGGTGGAATGTTATAAATTTATAATTCCAGCATTAGAAAGACTAGGGAGACAGATCATGAGTGTTAGGTCAATGAGGGCTACATACTAGGACTGTTTCAAAATACTAGCCCCCCCAAAAAAAAACAATAAGGAAAGAGAGGGAAGGAGGGTGGGAAAGGGAAAGGAAGAGGAAACCAGAGGTTAGGGGATCAGGAGGGAGGAGGGAGAAAAGGAGATAGGAAAACAGAATCCTGAATCTGGTTGTGCCATTGGCGCAGAACAAACAGGCACGTGGAGGCACACAGCTAACATTTAGATGGTACAGCCTGTCTGGATCTCTCAAAGCAAGAATTCAAGGGCAGGGACAAAAAGAAAGAGACATGGACAGCAATGTGTAGACTTAATCAGATCAGACAACCAACCAACTGCAAACTAACAATTCTTATGACAGTTAGGAGCTATCAAATTGCATATCTGACATAAAAGAACTGATGTTAAGGAAAAAGTATTGTATCTTAAATACACGTACAAAGACATAGAGATGAATTCTATAATGTTTGAGTGTTCCACTAAAATAAAACATGCTGATGCGGTGGTGCACACAATGACTCTCTGCACACGGGAGGCAGGAGGAGGCTGCCTTTGTGGGCTGGAGACCAGCCTGGTGTACATATAATAAATTTCAGGCCAGCTAGAGCCACACCGAGACTCTTTCTCATGAAAAACAAAACAAAGAATAATCACCACCACCCTCAAACTCCCACATCCCAACATACACAGGGATAGGGGAATTCAGAAGGCAGCATGGGGTGAAATAGATAGGACCAATAATGAAATACAGCATATATGCATAACTTAAAATTAAGCCAGAAAAGAAAAAGATTCTGATATGTGTTTTAATAAATGTCAGAGACATAATTACTGAAATCATTCAGTCACAGAAAGGCAAGTATGACATGATACTGGGGCAGGAGAGATGGTTTAATGGTTAAGAGCATTGGCTGTTCTTGCAGAAGACCCAGGTTCAATTCCCAGCACAAAGCAGTTCACAACCATCTGTAATTCCAGTTACACAGGATATAATGCCCACTTCTGCCCTCACAGACACATGGCATGTCTGAGGTGCACATAATACAAGCAGACAAACACTCATACAGATAAAAATAAACCTTAAAAACATTACTGCACAGATAAGTGTAACTCTCCCACCTCATCAACGATACTTTTATCTCTTGCAGCATACAGATTACAAAAAGTCAGAACTAGTCAAAATGCAGAAAACAATTCACTGTGAGCTACTCATACAAGCCTCACATCTCAGGCTCTGAGAAGAGCTCAGGGGAGGGAGGCAGAAACAGTGTAAGAGCTCGAGGACCAGGAGGTGAAGCTGCAGGATTGTATTTTATACATATGATGGGAAAAGCTACACCCATGACATTCCAACAATATGGGTGCTTAAATAAGATCTGAACAGTAGCATCAGCTGACATGCCAATGTGGACGGGAGAAATTGCAGAAGGCCCTACTCCTAGATAAAGAACTACAGGCAATTAAAAGCGTCTGAGAAAGGGAGAATTCATCTTTAGATATAAGTATCATGAAGTGGTCAGCCTGAAAAAAGCTGTACATACAAGCAGAACTTCACGGACTCAGCAGGCTGCATCTGTGTGTTTGCACACACATGCAGCAGTAATAGAGAGTAAGAGGCTATGGATATGAAGATGGGGTTAGGAGAGGGTAAAGGGAATGACAGAATTATATCTTCATTTAAAATGGAAATGCATGTTACATTATGCTACTCGTATGAGATACCTAGAACTGGGAAACTCATTGTAATAAAGCAGTTAAGAGGTTACTATGAGGTCTGGCATATAGGAAAAGGGAGAATTAATGTTCAATGGTTACAGAGCTTTTACTGATTAAAAAGAATGGTAATAATTACTACATATTATAGTTTAATTCATGTCTCCAATCTAGTGTGTGTATGTTTTGCGCTGCTGAAGACTTATGTAGTCCAAGGTGGCCTTGAATTTGATCCTTCTGCCTTAGGCTCCTAAGATCTGGGATTATAGCCATTAACTACCATCCATGCCTGGCCTCCAATCTCATTTCAATATGAAATTAGGGAAACTATTTGCTTTTCTTTAAAAGTTATTACTATCCATGAATGAGGTTTAGTTTTTACATCAGCACAGGATGAAAACTATTAAATTACTATGATTTTTTTCTTCAGTCAGAAGTCTACTTACCTCTACTTTATAATAGCGCTGAGTATATGTCAAATCGATTATCAACCCAAGCTCTTCATTTTGTTCTTGAATTTTATTAAAAAGATCCAAAGGAGAAAAGCATTCTTCTGGCATGAGGTTTGCTTCAAATTTCTGTCCGAGAGTGAGATAAGAGTGAGAAACCTGAAGTCCTGCAGCATGTGACACATTTATTCCAGCCCCATGAGGAGAGGACACAGTGAAACCAAAGGCCTGTTTCTGCTCTTCTGGAAGCTTGCATACAATCTCTCTTCCAGTGGTGGGAAGAACAAAAGCTCACTTTGATATATACTTATTTCTGCGTTTGTGTCTCTCTGCCTGAAAGACTTCAGAGTGTCCGAGTCAACATTAAATACATAAGGAAAAAACAAGTAAAAACTTGTTCCTACTTCCCTATGCCTTAAAATCTCAATGCATTTTACAAATGAACACCTCCCCCCAGTATACTGAATTTCCAGCACAGCAACTACCATATTGATACAGTGAATACTGATTTATCTAGTTTAGTCAGGTTGACATAAAATATAATACCTTATAATTATTCCTGACTGAGAGCTAGCATTCTCCATGGGGAATTTATATTTATGAATAGATCCTGAATTAATTTTCACTTACTTTTTGCAACGGAACTTTGAAAGCAATGAAACGAGTCCCAGGCATCCGTTGCCCAACTGGGAGATAGTCCGTCCACCTGTGACACAGGGTATTTGTTAGTCAAAACTGAATGTCAGCCTTGTCTTCAAGAATAAGGCTCCAAGATAATGGGCACCTAACACACACAGAATGTCCCTTTGTTCTGCTCTACTCTTTGTCCCTCAACCTACTCATTCTGCACAAGTAGCAACCTACTATCCTTCTGTTTCCCCATCCTGAAAATAGATATGAGACAACAAAGCAGCACACAGGCTTCACAAACAATATCTAAAACCTAGAACTGTCAGAACAGAATTGGCTAACAAACCCAGCCTTGCCTCAGATACTAAGGTGATGTCAGACATGAAAACAGAAGGGAGATTGCGTCAGAGGAGGAAGAGGGCTAAGGGAGGGGAGAGGGCAACAAGAGGCAGAAAAGGGAAAGACAAACGGTGTATATTTCCCCTATGTGAAATCTAGTTTTAAATATACAATGCATATACATATAATACATATTTGAGACATGAAAACAGTGGTGAATTATTTAGGGGGAGGGAGAAACTAGCAAAATGTGGGCAGGAGAAAGGGGAAGGTGTACGTGTGTGGATGAATATGAGCAAAGTATAATGTCATACATGTAGAAAATGTCAAAACAAAACCCATATTTTGTATGGTAACTAAAAACTATTAAAAACAGCAAAGAGTAACAAATGCCTACACACTGGCTGAAAGAGCTCAGATTCAATATTTTCACTGCACTGTTTGTAGTTTCCACACCAGTGACATCAACTCAATGTGTAGAAATCTCCCCCATTCTTACAACCTGAACTTCAGTCAGGAGTCAGTGTGGAGAGTCACAGCTGAGTTGTCTATGTCCATGAATTACGAGTAAGTATGGTTCATTCATATACCTGGAGACAGAGAATGAGGACTGAGAGAAACTGGGCTGGAGACATAGTGGGCCCTAGAGCAGTGGAACCCAGTGGGACAGGCCAGGACAAGAAGTTGGCTTTTTATATTATTTTATTTATTTGTTTGTTTATTTATTTATTTATTTATTTATTGGTTTTTTCGAAACAGGGTTTCTCTGTGTAGCCCTGGCTGTCCTGGAACTCACTCTGTAGACCAGGCTGGCCTTGAACTCAGAAATCCACCTGCCTCTGCCTCCCAAGTGCTGGGATTAAAGGCGTGTACCACCACCGCCCAGCTGGCTTTTTATTTCTAAAGTCAAGCTTTATCTTACATCTATGAGCTGTCTCAAAGTTACTACTTGATACTTATCTTGTTTTACTCCACAAATAAGCAATACCTACAATTATTTTTAATTTTTAGTTAATAATTTTTATATCCAATAAAGATGATTTAATGATGAAATAAAATATCAATGATTTATGTATAACTTACTTATACTTTAGTTAATAATTCATAGTTAAATAAGTAACTATATATAAGGTATGTTACAAATGGATTGGCCAGTAGATAAACAGCTGTCTTCTGCAATATGTCAGGCAAGTTCTGCACTGGATGACGTTGGAGAATAGGTGACAGACTTTAAAGATAAACGGTCTGGGAAGGGAGAGAGCACATTATGCCCATCCTGAATTTGAGGTACTGCTCATTTGTAGACATAAAAAGAAGTCCTTACTGAAGTCAGGGAAGAGGGAGAGAGCATTCTGTCCATCCTGAGTTTTAGGTATTGCTTATTTATAGAGATAAAACAAAGGACTTGATGAATTCTAGGAAGATGAGAGGCCGATCTGGCCACAGCTTTTCTTTATTTGTGGAGATAAAACGACCGACTTTTGAAATTGAAGAAGGGAAGCAAACAGCTGCAAGTAAAGGGTTCATAGCACCTGTGAGCAAAATCGTAAAACTAGCCATTGGCACAGGCAGAGTTAGGTCCCTCAAACGACACCTCCGCTTTCAGAGTCCTGGAAGCAAAAGAACCTCTCCAGCTGGTACGAGCGAAGGGTGTGTACAGCTCCGACCGGATCTCTCACACCGCGCCCAGACAAGCTGAAGACTGGCTTCAGTCATCAAGGGACGCCTCAATACTGGCAGCCGCGCCCCACTAAGCACTTCCGCCCTGGCCCGAGCTCCACGGAGTCCCTTTGGGACAGACCTGAGACCCCAGAATGCGGGGTGGCGAGGTGTTCAGCGCGGAGGACTCTGGGAGGCGGAAGGGCGCGAGGCCAGGGAGCACGCCAAGACTCTAGGCCACCAAGGCAGTCGGAACGCCAAGCCCGGAACCAAAGCGCCTTACCTTTCTGGGATGTGATTTCTGCCCTTCTTCTTGGGTGGGGCACGGGCAGCGAAGTCCCGGCCCCGACCGCGACCATATCGACCATAATGCCACTGGTTCATGTGGGCGTACAGATGCCGCCCACCCAACGCCAGGCGTGCCAGAGCGGCCAAAGTGGCGACTTCAGGGACGCCAAAAAACGCCGCCGGATCCAAAGCGCCGGCAAAGGAACACGACGCGTCGAGACCTCGCTAGTGCGCTTGCGCCTTGCCCCGCCCTGCTGACGTCACACGTCACGCTGAGGGTAAGGTTTGTCAGCTTGCCATTGGTTCCAACAGTGCTGTGCTTAGCAGGAGGCAGGTTTTGCCGCTGTGCGAATAATTACTTGCACGTAATTATTCGGCAGAACTGCTCAGGACAAGGAACAGACAATCCAGTCCCACCCCTCCGATCCCTGCATTCTTCGCGAAGGTTGTCAGTTGTTTACATTTTGTATATTCATGATATTTGGTTTCACACACGTATATCTTTTTTCCGCCAAAAAGAAATATACCAAAAGTTTTATACATTTCTCCTTATTCGGTATATTTAACGTAATTATCCATCGTGTGTGTGTGTGGTGCCACAGGTGGGGGAATATATATATTCTTCCTAATTTTGAATGACAGAGGACATTTATTATAATCCACATAATTAAAAATACTTTTAAGCCGGGCTGTGGTGCCGCACGCCTTTAATCCCAGCACTTGGGAGGCAGAGGCAGGCATATTTCTGAGTTCAAGGCCAGCCTGGTCTACAGAGTGAGTTCCAGGACAGCCAGGGCTATACAGAGAAACTCTGTCTCGAAAAACAAACAAACAAACAAACAAAAAACAAAACAAACAAACAAAAAAAACTTAAAAAAAACATTTCAAGCCGGGCAGTGGTGGCGCACGCCTTTAATCCCAGCACTTGGGAGGCAGAGGCAGGCGGATTTCTGAGTTCGAGGCCAGCCTGGTCTACAGAGTGAGTTCCAGGACAGCCAGGACTACTACACAAAGAAACCCTGTCTCGAAAAACAAACAAAAAGAAAACCAAACCAAACCAAAACCAAAAAAAAAAAAAACAAAAAAAAATCCCCAATACACTCTAATTGCAAAAACTGGTGTCAACTCACCTTTCTATCCACAGCCAGTTTTACTGGTATCACATGCCAGGTGTTCCAATAGCTGTGGACATCATTTTAGCAAGCACCAAAAATAACCCAGAGATAAAAGAGAAGCTCAAGTCCAAAATGTCCCACACAACGTCAGGACCTATGCTTGCTAGGGAATATCTGAATTGTCTAAGTGGAAGACCAAATTACAGGGCATCTGCAGAGTAGTGGACTAAGTCCCAGATTAGACTATAGAAATTTATGATAGCAAATTTTAAAATAAGTTTAAACTTTTAGTTTGAAATTTCTAAATGTAGCTTATAGTCATTTTTCATAATATTTACAATAATTGTAAGCTGAGTAGTCTGACAATAACGCTTGATAAGTCGAAGTGTAATTCCAAGATAATACTTTTTACATCTAGATTCCAGTGCCTCCCAGTCTTATCCACATTCTCATATGCGGTTATCTGATGGGTTTTTACACCAGATGAGCCAGTGGAGGAGGGGAGGGAAGACAAGAGGGGCAAGATAATGTGACAGTAATACAATAGCACACCAGAAGGGCAGAGGAGCTCCTCTTCACATAAGAAAAAATTCACAGAGGCAGGATGGAAGGTAGGGAGATTGTTGAACTGTTTGAAGTAGTCATGGGAATTGGTTTCAAATAGTCATGGGGATTCAGAGTTGGCTGTTTCCTTCTAGAGGGAAGCAGAGGGCGTTAGAGGCTGAACAACGAAACTTGGAATGGGTTAGACATCAAAAATAATTAAGCATGAATGAACAAAGAAGCCTTGTCTTCAGTGAGAGCACAGCCAGGATGAAATTGAAAGACGCTCAGCTTTTGACCTCCATAAATCAGGAGGACAAAGCAAAAACATCCCCTCTTTCTTCTCAGACTAGCAGACCAGAGTGTTCCCCTCGCATGATTTGGGATGGTGGGAGCTGGTTCATGAAGCTCCTTGCCCTATCTTTCTTGTGGATCAGATTTGGCTGGCTGGGCTCATTAGGAATTCTTGGCTTTTTTTTGTTTTGTTTTGTTTTGTTTTTCGAGGCAGGGTTTCTCTGTGAAATCCGCCTGCCTCTGTCTCCTGAATGCTGGGATTAAAGGCGTGCACCACCACTGCCGGGCTGAATTCTTGGCTTTTGTCTTCTCAGACCCAATCATCCCAGACAGCCTTCTTGTTCAGTGTTGAGTTATACACCCATATTGGGCATCTAAGGATGATGCTGGAATCAGTCACAGTAGTGTGTTCCTCCAAATACAAACAGTGAGTATGTGGGATGTGGTTCTGGGAGTTACCAGTTGAGACCTGTTTATAAATGAAAGAAAATCCACAGATTGTCTGAATTGGCTCCTGGAAAGGCTTCCTTTAAGCTCTATACTCTGATGAACAGAAGTTACTCTTTTAAAAGATATGGAAACAATGTTGCCTGTTTTCTAAGAAGACCTCAAGCAGTCTGAATTTAATGTGAATGGAAGGACCTCTAGAGCAAGAGGTTAAAGAATTCCCACAACAAATGCAGTGTCCCATTGGAGTCATGTCTCATTTCCTCTGCGGAGCTAGTGGGGAATGTGACAAACTTGCCTTCCTGCTTGTTTCCGCCACCCCTTCTCCCAAATTTATTTCTGTCTCTTGGATGTTATTCCACAGAGCTTAGTGGACTCTGTTTTTAACAGTCCCCTTTCCCACCTGTAGTTTCCTGGCATTGAGCAATCTAATAGGTCTAATCCATTCCCTGACTCTTTTTTCTTCTACCATGTTTGTCTAGGGAAGTTTTCATTTACTTAGAATCTTCTATTGATTCTTACTAGATCCCTGTTTACCATTTCTCAATTCATCATTTCTGCTTCATTCTCTACAGCAGAGAGCTGAGAGTCTTTTTAGTTTTTTTTTTTTTTTACAAAAAGCTGTCTCCAAATTACCTCTGTCCAATATACAAGAAAGAGACTCAGAAATACAGAGACAGAGAGAGGGAGATAGACTGAGAGAAGGGCTAGAAGAAGAGGAAAAGTAGGTGGCGGAGGAGTTCACCAATAGGAAGAGAAGGAGGAGGAGTGGCAATGTGGAGAAGAGAGGAGAGGAAGGGAATGAGGGAAGGGGAGAAGATTGAGGAGAGAGATGAAGAGCAGAAAGCAGGAGGAGCCTTGGGGATGAAGGGGCATCTCTACTTGACTGTGAGCCTGCTTTTTCTCATCTCAGAACTGGAATTTGTTTTTTGAGACAGGATTTCTCTGTGTAGCTCCAACTGTCCTGAAGTTGCTCTGTAGACCAGGCTGGCCTTGAACTCTCAGAGATCTGCTTGCCTCTGCCTCCTGGGTACTAGGACTATAGGTGTAAGGAGCAGGCCCTTAAACAGGACCAACTCCATTTTGTAATAGGAAACTTGTAGAGTACTAGTCTGGTACTTGTAAAGATAAGTCTGGAAGTAAAAGTTGTGCTGTGATAAGCAGCTGTGATGAGGTCAGAGGCCAGAGATAACAGACACTAGTGGTTATCTGCCGTGCATGTCAGGAGTAATGCCAAATCCAACATAAAAGAGGAGCCCGATTGGAGCACTTCACTCACACTTGTAGCCACGACTGGCCAATGTGATCCTCCGGACAAAGCCTCCTCAGCACCCGGTCATCAAAGAGTTAACCGAGAGACCAATGCCTCCAGCTTCTTCGTGGTCAAGCACCCAACAAGGTCAAATTGGCAATTCAACTATCTGAAAGCCGAAGCCTGACCCCACCTTCCTGGACTCCGGACTTGTAACCCAAAGCCAACAAAAGGACTCAGGTTGTATAATCCATGAATGAATGATGTATTTATGGCTATGTTTATTTCTTTGGTAACTAGCAACTTATTATTTGTGTTCATTGTGCATATTGTTAGAGGCAATACATAGGAAATGTGGCAATATCTTGTTGTAGTAATAACCTTAGCATTTCTGATAATATATTGTTTGTTATGCATCATTAAAGAAGTAACTGAACTCCAAAACCTCTGTCTCTCTGGTGTACTTTCTCTTCCCTCTCAAGGAGCTGATGATCTCACAGTCAAATCCAGTATACAATCCCTGAGTGGAGAAGGACCTGTTGCTCCTCTCCCCTTGGGGGATTCTAACCCCTTATCAATAGCCTGCTCATGAGAGATAAGAGTCCCCGCTTTCGACAATAAGCGTATAGGATTATAGGATTATAGGCTAGGATTATATTTGCTGGCTCAGAATTTGAATTTTTAAACTTACAGCTTATGGCATTAATGAAATATCATTCTGCCCACTTAGAAGTTTCAATCCATGTAAACAGAACACACCTCTCTTCTGTGTACATAACCTCTGTACAAGAAATCAAGGCCAGGTTCCCAGCCAGGACACTGATGATGAGATTCAACAACACACTGGAAGTTCAGCCTCATCACTCACCTTCCAGAAATCCATAATGACCATGTACCTTGGAAGCAGTGGGCTGTGGTAATGGGTTTTCTCTGACTTGCAACCTGGTCACTTACTGTCTGCAAGGATACTGACCATTCCTGCCCATTTTTTCTGGGATCTGGGGTTACTAATAGTATGTGCTTTACAGGAATGTTGAGAGGATGAAGCAAGCAGGACTGGGGTGTAGCTCAGGAGCAGAGTGTGCTCAGCACACTTGAGACCCTGGATTCCATCACCAGAAACATGGGGGGTGAGTAGCTTAGTCAATGTTTATAAAGCACTACCTCATTCTTCAGCAATTTTACTACATTTCAGTTATCAGTCTGAATGCAAAGGAAAGGGCCATGTCAGATAGGTGAATTAAGCATATTTCATTTTGTAATTTTGCCTAGAGAGTAGGGTTCACATCTGCCTAGGAAATGGTTTCTTCTCCTAAGATCTGTCTGTGATAACAGGTTTAGCTGATCAGATCTCAGTGGGTCAGATCAGCTTCAGATCAATGAGATTCTGGCACTTTACTCCACACCAGCCTGGACCCTTGCACTGAGTTTGGATTCAGAGTAAATGGAGCAACACAGTGAAAGGACCAGAGCACCGTCCCAAATATAATAAGAGCCAGGGGTGTAGAGACCCAAGAAAGGGTAAGATACTGCATCTGAGCACTGATACTAAAGGTCCAACAGTGTGTGTGTATG